TGTAGGGAGATTTGCAAACTGCATCTCTGTTAGGGAGTTTCTGCACTGCACCATTTTGGAAAAAGGGTATCGGCAAAGCACTTGTGTTTTTCCATTCTCCCTGCTTCTGTGAATCTGAGTCCAATTTTCTTTTGGGGAAGCATACAAAAAAAGAATTGAATGGAAATTAATAATGTTGTATTGCAGATGCGCATGCATAAGACTCTGAAGGTTTGACCTAAACAGCTGGTCCTGTCTTCTCTCTCCCCTAATCGGCACACGCATAGTAAGGACCATATATTAATCCACACCTCTCAACAATCTTTCTGCAATCTCATAGGAAGAAAGGGTGGACAATTTCTTAAGCAATAATGTTGTAAACAAAAATCTGCCCTTTTTCCCTTATGGGGTATCCAGAAGCCCATATAGAGTCCTTACGTAGGTTCCCTATTGGTAGGAGAAAATAATAGAGGCCAACCAGAGAATATTGAGAAGTAAAGCAGCTAGTAAGCCTGATTTTTATTGATCTGTTGCAACAGGGTCCTCATTCACCACAAGCAGGAGGGAGGAGGAACCCAGAACAATGGTGTGCAAGCCCTTATATAGACTTTTGAAATTCCCACCCTGTAGATCAAGACCACCCCCAGATACATCATACCTACATCACAGAAAGGAGAAATCTGAGTGCTTTGTTTACCTCCTGTCTGCCAGGTTACCTGTTTAATGGTCACTGGATTGGGTTGCCTGGGGAGCCTGACCAGTCTTCTGTAATTATAAATACTTAGTTCCTGAGCCAGGTCAGGCTCACACCCTATTCATATCTTAAATGTGCCCTTAAGACAGGATTTGTGAGGAAAGAGACAATGGGGAGGTTTCCCACTTTGACCTTGCAGAGAAATAATTGAGGTTAGTTTGGGAATAAAAAATGGTTTCAGGTCGGTCTTCCTGTGCTGATCTATGTACGTGCTTGGTTGGTACACTTATGAACATTTAACATATATCTAAGACCTCAAAATTCCTATCACAATAAGAACAGTAGTCTAATTCTCACAAAGCAGATGAAGTGGATTTTATTTTGAATGTGAACGACAGGGTTTGAAGCCTCTCATATATACAATTATATGCTCTTGGGAGATGAGAGCGTTGGCCCATCTCTCCAATGTATAGTTGGTGCTGGGTATTTTTCTCCTGTGCAATTTTTTTCAAGCACATTAATATTCCACCTGCAATCCAGAGTGATCCACATAAAGGACAGCTTGACCACCTCTCTCCTGATTTATGTAAGGTACTGTAAGAGTTGAAAGAGTAAAGAAGATTCTACGACCAGTCCCTGCAGGGCATTTTAAAGTAAAAATGCAGGACTCTTGGATTAGTTTATAAGGGTTGTATGAAAGCACAGTTGTAAGCATACACTGATAAATGTTTATGTGCCCATTGTGGAAGAACAAAAACCTCACCACATCTTTATTTAGATGCGAGTTGTATCCAGAGCAATCAACAGTACCAAATTTGGCTTGAGCCTTGAGAGTTGTTAGGAAAGGTACTCATAAGATTTTGCTAGGCCACATCATAGAATGAAAACATAATTTCCATCTTCCACAGCATGAAAACTGAAGGATGAAAGCAGCTCCAGACATGCCCTGATGTCCAGTTTCCCTTGCAAAAGCCAAACCTCGATGAGCAATACTTTCTACAACCAGCTGAATACACAATATTCAACTAACAGTAATAAAACCGTGAATGGTGGGTAAGATTCTTAAATGTTCATAAATGTACAAGGCAAACACATACATAAGTATTTAAACCACGTGTCTGAAATAGTACAGGAGAGCAATCCTGAAGCCATTTTGACTCTCCCAAATTGACCTCAAATATCTCTGCAAGGAGGTAGGAAATGGGAAAAGCTTTCCAATTATCTGGACTGTAGGGGCTTACACCTCCCTTTTCAAATGCAGTCTGGCAAATATCTGTTAATCTGAGCAAACTATCAGCATCCTTAAGAGATTCAGGAACTAAAGTATTTACCATCTCAAAATAATGGCCAGGCTACCCAGAAAATGCAACCAAGTAAGGCATTATCAGGTATCCTGGCAGGAGAGACAACACACTCAAATTTCTGTCTCCTGTGGTGTATGTATGATGTTTTGGGGGGTGAAGTTGGGCTACAGGGTGGGCAATTTCAAGAGTCTTTATAGGGACTTGCACACCATTGTTCGGGGTTCTCCTGTGTGTGGTGAGTGAGGACCCTGTTGCAACATATTATTTATTATTAATAAAGATCAAGCTTACTAGCTGCTTTGCTTTCAATATACTCTGGTTGGCCTCTCCTTCCTATTTGACCGATAGAGATCTCCTGAGGGGCTCTGTATGGGCTCTAGATACCCCTTAAGGGAATTAGAGGTATTTTTCTTATAACAGCCCCACTACAAAAACATGGTATGCAACCCATTCATTCAAACCTTAGCAGCTACTACTGATAAGGTCTTGTTGCCTTTCTTAAATACTGGAATCACAGTTCCTTTATTTCACCCTTTTATCAATTAACTGGGTCTTTGAAGCGTTGCTCACGGCTCTATACATAGGGTTTGCAGGTATTCTTATTCTTATTATTATTATTAGAATTAGAATTTATATACTGCTGTTATAGAAAAAACCTCCTTTTCCCTTATGGGGTATCCAAGAGCCCATATAGAGTCCTTAAGTGGGTTTCCTATCGGTAGGAGAAAATAACATGCCAATCAGAGAATATTGAGAAGCAAAAAGCAGCTAGTAAGCCTGATCTTTATTAAACTGTTGCAACAGGGTTCTCACTCACCAAATGCAGGAGGGAGGAGGAACCCAGAACAATGGTGTGCAAGCTCTTATATAGACTTTTGAAATTGCCCACCCTGTAGCTCAAGACCACCCCTCAAAACATCATACATACATCACAGAAGGGGTGGTCTACATCAGAAATACATCACAGGAGGTGGTCTACAGCAGAAATCCTGTTTGCCAGGATATCTGTTAATGGTTACTGATTGCTTTACCTGGTCACAGGCTCACCCTATTCATACACAAATACACCCTTAAAACAGGTAAGCAAAAGACAATTCTTTCCCATTGTCCTCCTTGCAGAGAAATCTGATGTTGTTTAGTCATGTCCGACATTTCATGACCCCATGGACCAGAGCACACCAGGCACTCCTGTCTTCCACTGCCTCCCGCAGGTTGGTCAAACTCATGCTGGTAGCTTCCAGAACAGTCCAACCATCTCGTCCTCTGTTGTCCCCTTCTCCTTGTGCCTTCCATCTTTCCCAACATCAGGGTCTTTTCCAGGGAGTTTTCTCTTCTCATGAGGTGGCCAAAGTATTGGAGCCTCAGCTTCACGATCTGTCCTTCCAGTGAGCACTCAGGGCTGATTTCCTTCAGAATGGATAGGTTTGATCTTCTTGCAGTCCATGGGACTCTCAAGAGTCTCCTCCAGCACCATAATTCAAAAGCATCAATTCTTTGGCGATCAGCCTTCTTTATGGTCCAGCTCTCACTTCCATACATCACTACTGGGAAAACCATAGCTTTAACGATACGGACCTTTGTTGGCAAGGTGATGTCTCTGCTTTTTAAGATGCTATCTAATATTTGAGGTCAATTTGGGAGAGTCACAATGGCTTCAGGATTGCTCTCCTGTACTATTTCAGACACATGGTTTATATACTTTATGTGTTTGCCTTGTACATTTATGAACGTTTATTTTATATTTGGGACCTGAGAATTCTTTTAACACTGCTCTATACCCAGAGGTCTCAGGGCAGTTCACAGAGTAAGCAGCATTCATTCCTATGGGAAGCCCTTTGGATTTTGGTAGTAATTCAGCTTGAAACTCTAGCCTGCATCAGTTGGATAATATAAATCAGCATTTAAAAGTAACTTGAAATACCAAGTGTCAAAAATACTAGGATAAGCAGTATAAAAGGAAGATATGCAAAAAGCTGCAGACTTTTGGGATTTGAGAAGCCCTTCGTGCAGGAAGTCGACAGAAATTAGAGAAAAATTCGAAATTGTGCTTTGACTGTATATGTTAAAAACGCTTAACAAAATATAATGGCGGGGCAGAACTTTCGGAAGTCTGATTATTCGATAGACGGTTGCTTTGCAACTGTTTTATTATTGCAGAACCTTTGAATTTCAAAACAGGCACGGGCTCGATTGCTATAGCGACCGTCAAGGAGCGTTTCGAAAGCTCTACGTTAAATCCGCTCAGCCGTCCGGAATCGCGTGGCCACGCGGCAACCGCCGCCGAAAAGTTCCGCGGAGCTTGCGGCCGCGCCGAGGCGAACAAGAGGCCGCACGCCACTTGCGTCAGCGCCGCCGCCGTAAGACACGCCCGCCTCTATTCCGACAGCTGCGCTCACTGCGCAGCCTTCTGGGCCTTGTAGGCAGCGCGCGGCCTTCATGCCCAGCGACGAAAGGCCCTCGTTTGATTGGCTCCACGTCGCCAGGGGCCCTCCGCATTGGTCCGCCCGTCCGCGAGAGGCCCCGAGCAACCGCCGCCCCGCCCTGGCGACGTTTGTGAGGAGAGGCGGGCGCCATGTTAGCGCAGGCTCGGCAGCTGCCGCCGCCGCCGCTGCCGCCGCGGCAACGTACCAGGAAGGAGGCGGAGACGGCGGAACAGCTCCGGCTGCCGGAGAAGCCGTTGGGGCTGGCGAGGCGGCGGGTGGCAGCCGAGGGCGGCGCTGATGCGGTTGGTCTGAGGGGCGGCTGCTGAGGCGGCGGCGGGCGAGGCAGCCGCCCGGCCTGAGGGAGAAAGAGAGAGAGAGAGAGAAAAGCGCAGGATGTCGGCTTCCTCCGCGCCGTCGCTTCCCGCGAGCGCCGCTTCCTCGGAGGGGAAAGGGCTCCCCCGGGGCTGAGGCGCTCCCTCGGCGCCTTTCCCGTCCAGGCCTCCTCCTCCTTCGCCCGGCCTGAGGCCTCGCCGCAAAGGGGTGGAGGAGGAGGAGGAAAAGGAGGCCTCCTGCCCCGCTGCTGCTGCCCAGGCCGGCCTGCCCGCCCGCCCGCCCGGCGGTGGAAGATGGCGTGGGTGCTGAAGATGGACGAAGTGATCGAGTCCGGCCTCGCGCACGACTTCGACGCCAGCCTCTCCGGCATCGGGCAAGAGCTGGGCGCCGGCGCTTATAGCATGAGGTGGGTCGGCCCCTCGGCAAGCGGGGTGGAAGAAGCGGGGAGGGAGCGGAGCTGGGCCGCGCCAGGGCGGGCAAGTGGGCGGCCTTCCCTGCGGCGGAGCCGCGGCGCCTCCTCTATGTCTCTCTCTTAGCTTTATTTATGCTTTCAGGTTTATACATTTCACTAATTTTACAATCTTTTTAACATTTCAAAACTCGACTCCCTTCCCCCTCTTTCTGCGGTTCCTTAAATTGATTTTTGGCATCTTCCGCATATTCCAAATTAACGTGATTGGCTCATTTATTCATCTACTTTAAATATATACTGTTATGAAACCGCAGGTTATTACAATAATCCTGTCAGTGTTCTTATATGTTTACAGTTTGTCTGCAAAATATTCAGTAAACCATTTCCATTCTTTTATAAAAAGTTTATCTTGATTTCTCATTCTTCCGGTAAGTTTCGCCATTACTGCATATTCCATAAGTTCTTGCATCCATTCATCCTTTGCTGGGACTTCTGCTTCTTTCCATTTTGGGGTGAGTAACATTCTTGCCGCTGTAGTAGCGTACATGAGTAAGTTTTAATACAGTTTAGGTAGTTCTTTCCCTATAATTCCCAAAAGAAAGGCTTCTGGGGTTTTTTTTTTACAAACGTTATTTTAAACATCATTTTCCATTCATTATACTGTATATCATTTCCCACTAAGCATTAACCTTACTACAAGGGAGCTAGCCTCTGGGGCTTGGGAGTCCCGCTCTCACGGAAAGAGCTGCGCCTAGCGTAGCCTCTACAGTAACTTCAGGTGCACGTGTATGTGCCTTCTTCCTCCAGGCGGCCTTGACTCTGATACCTTGCCTGTTGTTCGATCAGGAGGGAGGAAGCAAGGGATCACAGCCTTTGCCAATATAATAATAAAGGCAGATGGCCTTCTCGGTAGTGGCACCCACCCTGTGGAGCACCCTCCCATCAGATGTCAAGGAAATAAATATCTGACTTTTAGAAGACATCTGAAGGCAACCTTGTATCGGGAAATTTTTAATGTCTAATGTTTTACAATATTTATGTGCTGTAAGCTGCCCAGAGTGGCTGGGGAAACCATTACATTACATTGTGCCTTGGTTTTCAAACATTTCAGAAGTCAAACGGACTTCCGGAATGGATTAAGTTTGGTGCTTTTGTTTTTGCTATTTTGTGGCTTTTCGGTTAATTTGTTTCTGTGGAACCCAGTTCAGCTACTGATTGATTAGTTGTGTGACTGCGGAAATGGATAAAAAGCCCCCCCCCCAATCCAAACAATGACTGTCATCAGTGCAGGTAAGAAAAAAAATAGTATAGTACATTATTGTTTTCATTTTATGGATCAATAAACTCATTAGATAGCAAAGTTCATGTTAAATTGCTGTTTTAGGGGTTGTTTTTAAAAGTCTGGAATGGATCAATCCATTTTGCATTACTTTCTATGGGAAAGCATGCCTTGGTTTTGGAACGCTTTGGTTTTGGAACAGACTTCCAGAATGTATTAAGTTTGAGAACCAAGGTACCACTGTAGTAATAATTTATACCCCGCCCATCTGGCCACACTGGGCAGCTTACAGCACATAAAAATAAGATAACAAAAGTTCAGGTAGACTGGGTGCTGTTGGTAAAAGAAATCCCCATTCTACACTTTTCCCCCCAGAGGCTGCTGTTCACATTTGCATTTTGCTTTAAAGCCCTGATGATGCTCTGCAGCAGATACAAATTTCAAAAGTGTACAAATTCTGGGTGCTTAGTTTTTCCTCTTTCTTTTTAAACAGACAGTGTGTTGTATCTAAAATGTCCTGTATCTTTAGTATAGGTGAGATATGCCTTCCATTTTATTCTTCATGTGTGGCATTATTCCAAGTTGTGTTGTTCGCTTTTAAATTGCATGTTAGGCTGTGCTCTAATTGTCTGTTTTTTTACTGTGAATTGAAGAAAGGGCTCTGAACTAAGTCCTGCAAAAATTTAAACAATAAATTCCAATAAAGCCAATGTGGTGTATTGGTTGGTTTTAGATTAAGTCAAGGGAGACAAATCCCCATTTGTTCATGGAGCTCGCCGTATGACCTTGGGCCAGTCACTGTGTCTCAGCCTAACTTTTCAGGGTTGTGAAACTAAAAAGAGGATGAGAGAACCATATATACTACCCTTGAGCTCCTTAGAGAAAAGGTGAAATATGAAGAAGAAGAAAAAGAAACTCTCACCGCAATAATAGCCAAATAAGCCAACATTACTAACAGACATTTTGAATTCCAATTAAGACGTTGAACCTTGTTTCCCTTAGCTGGGTGTACTGTATGTGGTTGACAACTGAATTGTTTTACTGGTGGTGGTGGTTGATGTGATGTAAAGTTCACTTTTCAAGCAATATGCTTACTAAAGCCATTAACAACAGCAATTCTATATAAACATCCATATAAAGGAATCCACAGCATCTAGGTATAAAATGCAAAAATGCAGAGGAGGAAAAAACATTGTCTGTTTTTAACAGGTAGTTTAAACTACTAAGGGTTTTTGCAGATCTTAGCTGGACAGAAAGGGACTTGCATAGTTGTGGCGGAGTTGGGGGGACTATTGAGAATGCCTTCTCAAGTTTCTGCATACCAGATTCCAAGTGAATGCAGCACTCTCAAGAGAATCCCCACCAGTTCTCAGTGTCTGGGGCAGGTGTATATGGGAGAAATCCTTCCATTAGATACCTATATTCTGAGACAGGCTTTGCTTTGCTTGTCAACACAAGTAAAGTGAACTTAACATAATAGTTTCTAGGCAGTCAGTGCAACTCCTTCAAAACTGGTCTAATGCATTCCTAAGTAGGCTACTCCATTTAACTGCCTAGCCATTAGCTCCAGCTTCTCAACCTACCTTAAGGGTAGCTCTACCTAGACGTGTGGTACAATAATCCATTCTTGAGAATACCATGGTGTGGATCACTGTGGCCTGGCTATCCCTGTCCAGGAATGGCCATGGCTGGCATACCAGCTGAAGCTGGTAAAAAGTACTTTTTGCCACTTGCACCTCCACCAATAGTGATGGCGCTAGGTGCGTCCCAAGCTATGTACCTCCTTCAGAGGCAATGTGATCTCATCCAGAACAAGGAAGCCTATTCAGTTCCTGGACATGGGAATTACCTATACACAGCAGCTTATGAGGATCCAGCCCACAATGGTATCCAAACATGATTTGTTATACTTGTTCAGATTAGTCTTCACATTTTAATCTATTTGCCACTGCAGTTCCCACCACCACCATCCATGATCTCTGGAGTGCACAAATTTGGAGCGGCTTTGGGAGCCAGCCCAAAGTTGTGGTTGCCACCAATCTCTGCCAATTCAGGAAGGACTGTGATATTATTGGTTTTGAAGCTGACTTTCAGAGACACTGGACAGCAGCAAGTTCTGATATTTCTGAAGCACAGTACAGTCAGGGATTTGTCTTGCCTTCACTTCGGGCCATCTAAACAAAACAATCACTGTTGAGGGGCAGTCAAGGACCTCATGACATACATATATAAAAAGGTAAAGGTACCCCTGACCATTAGGTCCAGTCGTGGATGACTCTGGGGTTGCGACGCTCATCTCGCTCTATAGGCCGAAGGAGCCGCTGTACAGCTTCCTGGTCATGTGGCCAGCATGATTAAGCCGCTTCTGGCGAACCAGAGTAACGCACGGAAATGCCTTTTACCTTCCTGCTGGAGCAGTACCTATTTATCAGGAACTGTTGGCATAAATGTCACTGGAATTTCATCCAAGTGTAATAATCTCTTTCCTCATCTGTAGTTATCAATGTTTCCAGTATTCCAAGGCTTGATCTGTATAACTTGACCTTTATAACTATGTAACTTGATTAAACTAGTACGTAAGCCACACACGTCTAGGAATTTGGCCTTTTCTGATGAAGTAATCAAATAGTAGATTAAGTTATTTATTCTTCATGTGAAGAATGGCTGTTGCACTTCCCTCCCTCCCTTTCAGTCCATTTTTTTTCTTTTGTGTTATGTCATTTTATATTGCAAGCCTGAGGGCAGATACCTTTTTTCTCTGGAGCCATTTTGGCTAACAGGTGGGATAAAAATTAAATAAATTCTAAGAGAATCTGTGTAAACCATAGCTATGGATTGCTTTTTTATTTTGACAAGAATACATGGCTATATGCCCTGCCTCCACATTTCTTTATCCCATTCTTTTTCTTTTGAGGTGCTAGTTATGTCACAATCTCTTTTGTTAGTTTGAGGTTATCAACAGGTATCTAAAGTAAGTACCTTGTTGTGTGATTTTTTTCCCCTTTCTCTGGCAATGATGCAAGTGGAATGATTTCCCCTGCCTTAAACAGGGTTGGATTTTTTAGAGCAAGCTGACTGAACCTTTGTGGTGAGTTTTGGGGGTCATCAGATATTGTACAGTACAGTAGTTGAAATGTCTGTCTAGGACGAGGTACCGTATTTTTCGCCCTATAGGACGCACCGTCCCATAAGGTGCACCTAGTTTTTGGGGGGGAAAATAAGGGGGAAAATTATTTCCCCCACAGGCGCGGGGCTGGGGCGGGGGAGGCCCGAGCTTCCCCCGACCCCAGCCCCCAAACAGGCAGCTCTCTGCAAGCTGTGGGAGCCCAGTGCTGGCTCCCACTGCTTGCGGAGAGGTCCGCGAAGCCTGGACGCGCTGATCTCAGCGCGCACAGGCTTCGGCATACCGGCAACTCTCCGCAAGCAGCAGGAGCGCTCCCGCTGCTTGCGGGGAGGTCCGCGAAGCCTGGACGCACTGATCTCAGCGCACACAGGCTTCTGCATGCCGGCAACTCTCCGCAAGCAGCGGGAGCGCTCCTGCTGCTTGCGGGGAGGTCCGCGAAGCCTGGACGCACTGATCTCAGCGCACACAGGCTTCTGCATGCCGGCAACTCTCCGCAAGCAGCGGGAGCGCTCCCGCTGCTTGCGGAGAGGTCCGCGAAGCCTGGAGAGCGAGAGGGGTCAGTGCGCACTGACCCCTCTCGCTCTCCAGGCTTCAGCGAAAGCCTGCATTCGCCCCATAGGACGCACCCAGATTTCCCCTTCATTTTTGGAGGGGGAAAAGTGCGTCCTATAGGGCGAAAAATAGGGTAGTTCATATATTGCAGAGAAATACTAGTGACTAAATTGGTCCCCTAGTGTTAGTACTTCAGAATAACCTTCCAGAACATTCAGATAACCACAGATGGTAAGTAGCAAGAAGGTGACTGCTTAGGTAACTCAGCTCTGTTTCCAGTTAAGATTTCGTCAAGAGTAGCCAGTACCTTGGGTTTCACTTGCATCTGTGGCTCACTAGCTGATATATCAGTTAACACTTGTTGGCTTGCACTCTTTATAGACTGAAGTTTTCTCTATACTAGATAAATGGTGTTTGCTTTTTGTTCACATGATTTAAGGCAGACTTTTGTAAACTGGATTGGTGCACAGTGTAGTTCCCAACTACCTGTTATGAGCTAAAACTGCTGTTTCAGTAAGATTTCAATATTGAATTGATAAAAAAAAATTAAAAATGAGAGTTGCTCTTTCTCTTGTTTCTAATGCTATCTGAAGTTGAAAAAGGTGATTGTAGTGCAGCTTCTGGCATTGACATATCATTTGTAAATCCTGCTTGGAAGTGTTGTTTATATGCTTGTTTATCCAGAATTCAGTTGAAATACTTCTGCTTGTTTTGAAAACGATGCCATGTGTTAATGTGAAGTAACTGAGTACATGATGAACGGTAGTTAGCAGACTGGCCCACATAGTAAAAATTTGTAGGGCTGATGAGTAAATCCCTGGAGATTTTGAGGCAGATGGTATCTCACCATGTTGTCTGGGACTTGTAAGCTATTAGCGTAATGGAATCTTTAGTTTTAAATAAACAATGTCATCATTTTTTTCCTGCTGTTTCTTTAGTATCAACTTGATGTAACTACAACAGTGCTTATGAAGAATGGGCAAGATTCACTACATAAATTAAAACAAAGTCCCAAATGTGTAACTTTTTTGTTTGTTGAGAAGCTAGCATGAAATAGCACCTGAAATATCTGTTATGCTAAATGATAAGGTGTTAACTTCTGCTATAAGTGGTTACATAATCATGGTGTCTCCTTGTAATTTACAACTGTTTACAGATTTTTCTTCATTTCCCAACCGGTGTTCCGCGGCACACTAGTGTGCCGCGAGATGTTGCCTGGAGGGAGGCGGGCGAGGGCGTTTGCTTCCTGGAGGACGGAGCGAGGGCGCCCCCTGCTGGGCCGGGGCTCGCTCTCCCCAGAGGGTAAATCTGGATCAAATGGGGCGAGGGGCGGGCAGAATTCTGGGGGCCACTGATGCCCTACAGACCCCCCCCAAGTCCTCCGGGGCGCGCGCTCTGCTGGGCTCTTTTCGGTCGTCGTGCTTGTGGGAAGCCGCCCCTTCCCTGGGCGACGCGCCGCCTCGCGACTCTGGAGTCAGTCCCGCGGGCTCTCGGAGGGACTCGCGAGCGACGGCGCGGCGGCTCCGGGGCGCGCTCAGCCGGGCCGCCGCGCAGCCCCTGCTGCAGCTGCCCGGCGTGGAGCGCGACGCGGAGCCGGCCGGGCTTGGAGGCGCCCAGGTAGGGCCGGGCGGGGGCGGGGAGGTCTCGGTCTGCTGCGGGCGCAGGAGGGCGAGCGGGAGAGGGGGAGCCGTCGGGTCTCCTGGAAGGAAGCGAGGCGGCTGAGGGAATGCAGCCCCGTCCCCAGCAACAGGCGCTCCTCGAAGTGAGGCCACAAGTCGGGGCTCGGACAGGGCCTGGAAGCAGCGGCTCCGGCTCTTGGGAGCGGAGAAGGGGACTTCGAAAGCGGCCTGGAGGAGAAAAGCCCCGATGCAGCGAGAGCGGGGAGCGTGCTGCCTTGTCCAGGCCTCCTCGCTTTGTGCCGTCCGCTGCCGGGAGCAGGACACGGGGGCTCCTCGTTCGCATGCTTTCCCGGGTGATCGGTGAGGGTTAGGGTTAGGGTCCCTCAGTCCCTCGCTTTGCTGCCTCCTCCCCCCCCCACCCCCAAAGCTTGGAGGTTCCCGGCAAGGGGGAGGGAAAAATTGAAAGTTACACTTTCGTGCGTCCCTCCCGGCGTGACGCTGCGCGCTGACGTCACGGGGCTGTAATGGTGGTGTGCCTCGATATTTTTTTCATCAAACAAGTGTGCCTTTGCCCAAAAAAGGTTGGGAAACACTGTTCTAGAGTTAGGTTGCCATTGTGGGATGCTGTATAACAAACATAGCATGGCTCACTCTTGGTATCAAGGGAAAGGCTGCATTTTATGGATCTCCCAGGAAATTCAGCATGCTGCCTCTTCCATTTAGATGGCCTTTGAATATCCTTTTATTCCATGGTTTATATTCCACATTATATGGTTTTAAAACTTATTCTTGCTGGCTCTTTGGTTTTTGCTGATGTGTTTTATAATCTATTGGATACTGTGTTTTAATTGTTTTGTTATTTCATAATTATTTTGGTTACATGAGCTGCCTTACAGGAAGCAATTTAAAGGTGGGGTAAAAATACTTACATTCAAATAAATGAATAATATTGCTGGGGTTTCAGCATACATTCAGAAGGAGAATTGTATTCAAGCATACGGTTTTCCTGGAAACAGGACTGCCGCTTCCAGCTGGTATACCACTGGCCTTCCCATTGAGTAATTTCCTTGTTGCTAACAAAGAAAAGTAAGGCTTCTGAGATCTAACACTGGCACCTGTTCTCATTTCAGTGATGTTCTGGCACTGCCCATTTTCAAGCAAGAAGACTCCAGCCTTCCACCTGACAGTGACACAAAAAACCCACCATTTCAGTATGTTATGTGTGCAGCAACGTCTCCAGCTGTCAAACTGCATGATGAAACCCTTACTTACTTAAACCAAGGTTAGCATTGTTCCTCTGAGCAGACTTCTGCTGCTCTTGTATATGGCTACATTTTAATAAATTTTAAATGTCTGAAATAATAATCGTTGTTCAAAATACTTGCTCATTGTAAATATCTGTGCTTGTTTTGGTATCCTGGTATGTATAGAGAGACAACAAGGAAAGGCATTAGATTTTATTGTTATGAAACTGGAATACAAGCATTTCCATTAACAGGAAATGTGTGGTTTTTTCTAGATGCTGGCTAATCCCAACATCAGATTGAATGGTGTCATATGATAGTGTTCTTTGTTTCTCTTTAGGAAAAAGCCAGACTTGAAGTTCTATTGAGAAATAACAGTTGCAGTCAAGGTTAATAGTATTGCTAAATAAAATAAAGTTTAGACTACGAAGATAGCTTGTGGGGTATGAAATAAGTTTTTGAGAGCTCTTAGACCTCTAACATTATTTATGCATTGTTTTCAATTCAAAACCTTCTGGCACTTAATATATTCTCCTAAACATTCCTTGGAATACATGGTGTAATTTAGTCATCTTGGCAACGTGGTGTTTTAGGAAGTGCATTAAGTTAAGGAAAAAGTATTCCTATGAGATTACCTATGATCCCCAATACATTGGCACATTTAAGAAAATTCATTTCCTCAACTTTGTTCATGGGGCGGGGATTGTGGTACATTGCTCTTTAAGCTGCATTTATAGCTGCTTTTAAATTTCTGTATTGGGATAAGATTTATTCCATATGTTCATTTTTCAATATTGGAAAAAATCCTGTCCTTTTGATACTTTGATGCAGTATTTTAATAAATTAGAATCAGTGTACATTGTCCTAAATTTAATACTAGATTGAGGAAAGTGTCAGATTATCACATAACTATTCATTTCTTTCCCTCATGCTAGAGGAGCTTTACCATTGTGTATTTTCTCTTTCACATTCCACTTTCCTCTTTTTAACAGAACAGTTTAAAACTGTTTTAATATACAGTGGTACCTCGAGTTAAGTACTTAATTCGTTCCGGAGGTCCGTTCTTAACCTAAAACTGTTGTTAACCTGAAGCACCACTTTAGCTAATGGGGCCTCCTGCTGTCACTGCGCCGCTGGAGCACGATTTCTGTTCTCATCCTGAAACAAAGTTCTTAACCCGAGGTACTATTTCTGGGTTAGCGGAGTCTGTAACCTGAAGCATATGTAACCTGAGGTACCACTGTAATGTATTGTACTTCAATGTCTTTGAAAGTATTGCAGTAAAGTGGCATTTGGCCAAGGGCACTACATAAGTAAAATTATTATTTTTTCCCTTTGAAAGGTCAGTCCTACGAAATCCGGCTGTTAGATAATAGAAAAATGGGAGATATGCCAGAGATCAATGGGAAAATGGTGAAGGTATGTTGTTGGCTCAGTCTTGATTCCTGTCTCTTGTGATTCTTTGTAGCTATTGGAGCTACTTGCAATGACAACATTTCCCTGTTTTGGCTCTTAAAACTGCAACAAGGAGAGAATGCATCACCCACTTTCTAATGGCAGAAGTTTCAGTATAGGTCTGGACATCCCCAATTCTTTTACATGGCTGGACTACTGGGATACTCTAAAGAAAGTGGTGTAGGATGTCATTTTGCATTTCCAGCATTTCTTCCTGGTAACCTTTTAGACCATCCAGGGCTGAGGTCCGAACTGCGTACTTCAGCTCTAAATCCTCCTACCCCAATTTAAGTATATATAGTTCACTCTAATGTATAAAGGCAGGAACTGTTGAATGTGAGGAATCTTTAAGAATATGTAACCATTATTTAATTACCTTTTAGTTTCACTTTTCAGTTGTGGGAAGGAAAAAATTACCTTGTGTGAAGTCTCACTGTTAAGAATACTGCAGAATTTAATTCATGTGGGTTTGGATTTTAAAAAAGGTTATTATACCTGCCTAAAAGGTGGCTCAGTACTAGTGATGCTATCATAGCTTTTTGTATTTGAGATCAGGTATGAGCTTTTGGAGCTTTTACAAAACTTTAAAATTTGGATTGGCTCAGAAAATTTGATGTGTTTCCCCTTTCTGCTTATTCTGAGCTAGTCTTGACTTGGGGTGAGGACACCCATCACTATTCAGTACCCAAATAGCCTTCACTCTATACTTGTGAACTATACTCACTGAAAATCCCTGTTGGACAGAAGAAAACTAATATAGAGACTGAATTATGAATTTCTAAACACCTAGGGCTTCTTTTAGTCACAGCAGCTGTGAATGTTTATCACCTTAAGAAAAACATACCCTAAGCTGCCTGGCAAGTGGGTGAGGAAAACTCCTGGCTCTCATGATTCCCAGTCCTCCAATGTGCTGGCGTTACCTGAGACTTCTAAATCAGTGTTAGGGCTGCAGTCGACAAAATAATTTCGAGTGGATGTCATAGGGCACATGAGCCCGTTTTAGTTGAGTTATACAAGTATATTTCCAGCCTGGTTGTTTACCTCCCTTCTTGTTTTCTGAAAGGAAGAATAATATTGCGAAGCAAAGAATGAGATGTATGGTTTTTTCCCTTAAACTGGGTGCATATTCTCACTCTGGAAGAAATGTCCTTGAGGATTATCATATCTTAAAGCACAAATACTGAGGAACTTGCTGATGGATTTATTGAGCCTGTAACTGATAGGCGACATTTTCCTTATTTTGAATACTAGTGCTACTTAACTGGTGTGATATTTCCAAAATTCTAAATGGAGTAGTCCAGTCATATTTGGAGGATACCACATCAGATAATCTGGATTAAATTTTCATTGTATCTAGCTGAATCCAGGTTACAGCTTCTAGTGAATATAATTTTTAACAGGTTCTATTTTCTAAAACCTGTACAGACTCACTTGCTCTCACATCAGTATCTCCCCCTTCTTCTTTTTTGTGTGTGCCCCACTCCAGTTTTATATTGCTAACACATAGGTTTGTCCAGTCCCATCAGCCTGTATAGTTTTTCTTTGAAATCAAGGTAGCTCAGTTGGTAGAGCATGAGGCGCTTAATCTAAAGGTCGTGGGTTTGAGCTCCACAATGGGTGAAAGATTCCTGGATTGCAAGGAATTAGACTAGATGATCCTCATGGTCCCTTCCAACTCTATGATTCTGTGATACCCCTTTCTGTGGTGCTCTTTGAGTTGCAAATAATTCAGGAACTTTTATCACCCTGATAGAAGAGAGAGTGCACATAACCAGGTAGAGAATCATCAGAATGTTCAAAGTTAGTTTAAACCTAAGATATTGTCACTCTGCAGGCTATCTGCGAGAAGCTCATAGCTTTGTATACTTCAGCATTCCTCCAAAAGGAAGCATGGCTCTTGTTGTGTCTGATTTCATTGCAGTAGGAAAATTTGGGTGGGCATAGCATTGGCGCATGTTTACACTGCGAACTAGATATCCGTCATCTTTTTTTTTTTTTAGAGTATTATAAGAGTTGTGTTCCATGACAGAAGACTGCAGTATACTGAGCACCAACAACTTGAAGGCTGGAAGTGGAATCGCCCTGGAGACAGATTACTTGATTTAGGTAGGTGTGTTAATTAACATAGCCTCTTCATATGAAGAGATGAATTAACAAGAGAAGTGTTAACTCTTCTGACGTACTATATAGTAGAATTTGAATTGTACATGTTTTAAATAATGCATTATTACGTAGATTACCACAAAGGGCATTGGAAATTCTCTCATTCATTTTGAGATACCCTGTTACTAACAATTAATAGATGGTGGGATCTAAGCACAAAGATGGTATTTTATTTTTTAAAAAAAAGACTTGAAACTTTAAACTAAATTTCTGCATGTTCATTATTGCTACTCTCAATCTATCCTAAGAGAACATTATTTAAGATGAAAATGTGCAAATGAAATCTTCACTGCATTGTTTCCCCAAAAAAACTGTGTTTATTTTATTAAGATATTCCTATGTCAGTTGGAGTAATCGATATAAAGACAAATCCAAGCCAGCTTAATGCAGTTGAATTTCTGTGGGATCCTGGAAAACGAACATCTGCCTTTATTCAGGTTTGAAGATTTGTTTTCTTAAGAAATGATAGTAGTCTTTAATGGTGGGAAAGAATTGTTGGTGATCGTTAATGATTTAAAAGAGCTGAAACACAGTCCTCGCTCTTCTTAGTTGTAACATCACTCTTGTGTACTGTATGCAAGAAGTTAAATAATTGTCAAAATCTTGAAAATAATTTTTTTCTCAAATGAAGATTACAAATTGTTTACTCCCCCTCCCATAAAAAAGAAAATTGTAATACTGTAGTGACAAATGAACACCATATTGTGGCTTTTTTTTAACCCCTAGGTACATTGTATCAGCACTGAATTTACACCTCGTAAACATGGGGGTGAAAAAGGAGTTCCTTTTAGGATTCAGGTTGACACTTTTAAACAGACAGAAAATGGAGAATACACTGATCATTTGCATTCGGCCAGCTGCCAAATCAAAGTTTTTAAGGTAAGAGATGTTAATGAACAGCAGGGAGGAAATTGGCGTACAGAGGCTTTAGTATTTATTTTTCTAAAGCTTGATTTCTGTGTGTAATTTAATTTTTAGCCAAAAGGGGCAGATAGAAAACAGAAAACAGACAGAGAAAAAATGGAGAAACGAACAGCTCATGAAAAAGAAAAATATCAACCTTCGTATGACACTACAATTCTCACAGAGGTAATAATACTGAAATGTTTTCGTTTGCAGAGATAAATGGCGCATAGTACACATAACATACTTTAATCTAAGTAATGAGTTAGAGTGTCAAGGGGTGGGTCATAAGCTAAATATATCTAAAAGTAGGCTTTTCATTTGACAGATGTCTTTGACAAACAAAGACCCATAAGACTTAGGATCAAGTAGAAATATATATTTTCTTAAAACATTTAGCTTTGCTCAAACCTCATATACATGTCTAAAAGCCCTTCAGTGCTGAAAGAAAACTGTCTCAGGATTTGTTTTGTTCTTGTCTGGTTTGAGCCCAGAGCTGTATTTTAGAAGTTATTGAATTTATGGGCAGAGCCTCACTGGGTTCTTGCATTTCTTTTTATTTAAACACCAGTGAGTTTCCTATAGCTTTCTAACGATTGCAGAAGTTTTTAAAAGGCTTTTAAATTTTCCTCACTGTATAATGAAAAGAAATTGATCCACATCTTTGGTGTTTGTCCAGATGAGGCTTGAGCCTATAATTGAAGATGCAGTTGAACATGAGCAGAAAAAGTCCAGCAAGCGGACTTTGCCAGCAGACTACGGTGATTCTCTGGCAAAGCGAGGCAGTGTAAGGGACTTCTGCTTACTTTTCATTGTGCAAGTTATCTTGTGCAGTGTTAGATATAGGACCAATTTCCATCATCCAAGATTAAAAAACAAGGATTTTGTCTGCCTTGGCTTAATTTCGTGCACTTTCGTTTACCCACAAATTACTTCATGCTTGTATCTTAGTGAGAAATACTTCCTAAATCTAACACATAAAAATGTCAGCAGGCCTGTGACTCTTAATAAAAGCAAGAGCTTCAGTTTACAACTGAAATGGCTTTATTGAATAGCTGTGTTCTTAACAACTGTTTTCTCTCCTGTAATTAATGGAAAGAGAAGTAGCAATATCATTCAGTTGAGATGTATTTTTCTTTATTTTCACATGTAAGTTTCCACAAACTATTTTTTTTCAAGGCTCTGTGTTGTCTTAACTATTTGCAGTAATAATACTTTGCTTTCCTTATTAATGGCTTTCCATTTGTTAATACTATTGTTAAATTCCTAAATGAGCTTGGCCTAATCATCTATTTGCTCAATATGCAAATATTTATATGATACACTTCTTAAAAGTACAAACTGACAGTTGAATGATGTAGGCTTTTATTCTTCCCTTTGTACACACAACAAAATAGGCCGCCTCCATTTGTTAGCATGAAAGCAGCTGCCAGTGAAAGAGCCAGTTCAAGCATATCCAGCTGTTAAAATGTCCTTGGCTAGACTGACAATACATTTGAATGGTAACATTCTCTCTCCTATGAACTGGCACTTTGAATTCCAGCAGGGGCCCTAATTTGACCCACTGTCTGTTTTCTCCAAATCACTTGTACATTCCCTATATAGCTATCTTGATTATCTACTGTAAAAAATAAGAATTATTTTATTATATATTATTATATAATAATATGATATATATTATATAATGTTATATATTATTATATACTCATATAAAATATCAACCCAACAATGTATACCATACAATAAAATGTAAGATGCAGAAAATCAATACAAAATGCTGGCTCATTCTGAAAAAAATAAAAAGTAAACAACTGAATAGACCTGTCTGGCATAAAAAATAATAATAATTCATGAGACATTTGAAAGTAAGCCATGCCAAATCTCTACTAGAAGAGTATTCCAGAGTGCGGTACCAGAAACACAAGTGCCTGGCTTCTAGTTGAGGCTACTTCGACTTCTCATACATGGGGGATATGTGATACTGAGTGTGGAGCAGGTAAAGTTGCGGCAGCAACTGAATGGTTGGGAGCATACAGTGTGCTCTCAGTTGTTCCTTTTCAGGCAGGCCTTGCTGATCAGCTCTGTCAGCAAGCAAATAACAGGTGGTCTTCAGGGAGGTGGGGATTCATCCAGCCGGGCTGAAGAAGTTCCCTATCACTGATGTAGCATGCCAACGCTTTCTATCCCTAAGGTGGCCAGTGGTGGAAAGCTCTTGTTGGCTTACAGGATGGCAATCATCACTGAGTGCTATCTTGTGGTAACAAAAAACCTCAAAACCTTCCTTTTAAAAAGCCACTAAATGTTTTTTGTGCCATTCCTGCTCCTTCCACTGTATGACAACCTGTGAAGTAGATTGGAATGAGAAATAGCAGCTAGCCCAAGATCATCCATTGAGCTTCATGGCTGGTGGTGATCTGAACCTGGGTCTTGCTGCTCTAAACTGAATTTTCCTAAGACGTTTTCTACCCCCACTAGGCTGGTCAAGGTTTCACATGATTCTACTGTGTCCTCTTTTTTTCATAGCTTTTGCATTGATGCTTTCAATAAGGGTTTCAGCAGTGTCCTTTTGGTCAAGATATAGTGAGAATTGGAAATCTGTTCTGTCCATTCATGACAATAGCAGAAGACTAAAGAGCTCTTCTGAAAGAGCTGTTCAAACTTGTGCTGCAATCATGTATACAAACAGTTGGCTCCTTTGGTTGGAAACAGAAGATTGCATATCTGAGGGAAAGTAATACAAAATAGAGAGAACATTTACAAATAAATCACTGATAAGTTCTTGAGTGGTCAACATCTAAAACTTTCGCTTAGAATCAAATGTGTACTTTAAGTGTAATTTCAGAAGGCATAAAGGCTACTGATACTTATATCTTAAATTTACCATAAATGTGCAGCCTAAAAAGGTAAGGGGGGTAGTGTAAAAAGTTAAAGGGATAGAGATAGACAGTCAAAGCTTTTATCCTTTCATTTTTAACTGACGGAGGAAGCTTTCTGTTTATAATTCTTGGTATACAATTCTACTGGGTCATGGGAAGGATTGGTTGTGGTGAACAAAGCAACAGGCTTACACAGGAGCAGTGGGACGGCAGACCTCCACCCACAGAGAAAAAGAGCTCTGCAAAATCTTAGTCTCTGGTATAACCATCCGAGGGACTGTAGGATAGCACCCTTAAAATGCAGTAATTATTCAGCTAGAATGCATTTGCTTTAATCCAGTGTTAATTTCTGCTTAACCGTCATAATCTTGAGAAAATTATTGATCTAAAATGTCCTATTTAATCATAGGCAGCATGGATTACAATCTCAGAAGGAATATCATTCAGTTAGTGTATTGAAAGCAATCATAATGTAATATAAAATACATACTGTATCAAAACAAATGCTGAACCTTCACATTTCAGGCACCTTCCTATACTATTTCAGTTGTTGATGTTGTTTTAAACCATTACATCTAAAGCGAATATATCTTTGTAAAAAAAAATGCTTAGAATTCACATCTGGAAGTAAAAAATGCAAGCATGCATATTTGGGTGTAGCTTCAGTGTAGCACATCTTTGAAATGCATATTTGCTTTGTCAGAAATCAGAACATGATTTATTGTTGCCCTATAATTGGGGCTTAATCCCCATTGTGCACCAAAGGCGTGAAAGACAGCCACCTGTACATGCCAGCTTCCCCCTCTGCTTTCTGTGCTTCAATTGAGATGAAGTTCTTTGCCTGCCTGCCTGTAAAGAGAGAGCATGCATTTAATAATATTTGTACTTAGAAGTAATGATATATAATAGTAAATAATAAAACACAGAACTCTGTGTTTGTCAGGCTTGTTGAAACTATTTTCTTGTTGAATAAAGAAAAAAAGCCTGCTGAGAATGGTTCTGCTCTCTTTTCCCTAGAGGGTATGTGTGAGAGAGGGAGAAGGGTTATGAAATTGGCGTTCATAGCCTTCTTCCGAATGTGCATGGTTTCATCCTGATAAGAAAACGCAGCAAATTGCTGTGATTACAAGTTTAGAGGTGGTATTCCTCTGAGTACTGGATACTGGGCACAAACAATGGATCACTATCACGTTCCTACTCTGTGAGTGTCCAAAGACATTTGACAGATTGCTTTTGAAAGTAGGATGGTGGACCTTGGACTGATACTACAAGGTATGCATGGTTCCATTCCCACCCACCCTAATCATGCCAAGCTAGCATATGATCCACCAGTCCCTTGCAAATGAGGACCCTGGTAAGTTGTGGCTTCCAGTTACAGGGAAGAATCTAAACTTGTTCAGCTGAACATGCTTAGAATCCTCCAGACATTCAGTGGTTCAAAGCAATGCTTCAGAATTCGATAAACTAGGTCAGACCTTTTAAAAAAACCTAACTGATCAAGTAATGCATTCTGGATATAGGAGCTGGCATGCAGTGCCCTTGGTTGGAGTGCATGTTTCCTTAAAGTATGTGGGAAAAGTTTCTCCCCGTGTTGTGTTGCTGTTTCCCCTTCCTTTCTGTGAGGCAGAACGCGGCTCGCTACAACTGGTTGTAGAATGTGAATGAGAAGCTCAAAAGTCCCCCTCCCCCCTTTTTTTTTTTTTTGCAAGAGATCTAAAGTCCCTTGCTGTAGGAGTGAGTTTCTCCCCTTTCTTGCTTTTGGGTGCTTAACACTGTGCACATTTGAGATGCCATAAAGTTTTGTGGACCTGCATCTAAATTTTAAACTTGGGTTTGTTGCAGTGCTATTAAATTACCATGGCTTCCCTTAGGAAACCATTGGAATGAGTTTTTGGTGAGAGATGGTGGTTCCTTGTAGGCTTCTGTGTTCCCATGGTTCTTTTGGAGGAAACCATGCTAGTAAAGCCAATGTACATGAGCAGTTTCTGGGTATTTCCTACAGAGTCATCCAGCTGTACTGGAACAACTTGGCGTGGACTTACCTTTAAAATTCCTGTTTTTGTTAAGTCACTCACTGAAAACAATCAGTTTATGGAATAGTTTAGAAATGCAGGTTTGAACAGATTCTGTTTGTAGTGGGGGCAAGTCATTACTAAATTTATTATCACAAGGCACGTATAAACTTTTAGTGACTTAGCTTGAGTTGTATGCATGCATAGTAAATATATAATTATATGATAAAATAAGTGAGGACCGGTAGAGAGCTTTTGAAAAAGTAAGAGTTATTCTCCTGCAAAGTGAAGCCCAGCTTTAATTATAAAACTGCTGTTTTAATGTTTCTCTTTTCTCTAGTGTTCACCGTGGCCTGATACATCTACTGCATTTGTGAACAGTAGCCCTACCCCAACTCCGACGTTTGCCTCTACTCCACATAGTACTACTTACAGTGTCCCAGACAGGTATGCTTCTCTTCTAGCATGACGTATCTTAAATCAAGATTAAGACTGAAGAAAACGATGCTGTGGGACTTGTATGTGATTTCCTTGCGTTTAATTATCTCTCTCGGGATAATCAGATTACAAGAAATTATAATACAAAGCCCAAAGCTTTACAGAAACATGGAAGAGACAAGTTAACCCTTGTCAACATTCCTAGCTTAGTAGTGCAACAGAGGATATTGTGTTGTCTCCTGCTCTTAGTGGGACGTCCTCCTTTTTTCATATCAGCCATTGAAAAGTCTGCCGCTATTTTATATTGTTTTGATTAAGGTGTTTCATGTATTGTACTTTTAGTGTATATTGCTTTTGTTTTAATATAAATATTGTTTGCCACTTTGGAGGCCTTTGGACTAAAAAGTGGTATGTAAACAAACCATATCATTCAGACTCCATTGTAGACTATTGGGGCTGGGGGGTAACTTGTACTTTGTCACAGGCAGTAAAATGTCCTTTACCAACCCTATTCTAAGTACAGGATAAGGAGAAACAGCCCAGGTCTGTGTTACAACAATATTTTGTGGTCTTCAGTCTGGAAGTTGAATCCTATTGCAAGTGTGTGGCAGTGTTTTGTTGTATTGACTAGAGATTAGTGTAAAATTCTGCCACTAAGACATCAAAAATGTACCTGGTCATTCTCTTCTAGCAGTTCAGTGCAGGAGGTGCTGACAGATAAATGCACTTTAAAACAGCACATGCACTGGAGATGGTTCCTAGTTGGAATTCTAGCACTGAACTCCCAAAACTGCTCTGTTAAATTTATGAAGTTCCATCCCGGCCTGAGTTTGCAGTGGGAAGTTTGCTGGCAGGAAAATACTTGAGAGGAGTGCCTCTGTGTCACAGCCGTATAGCTTCCAAAAATAAAAGTAAAATAATCATGTAATCTTCCTTTCCTGTCTAGCAATTCATCATCTCCAAATCACCAAGGAGATGGAATTCCTCAAGTATCGGGAGAGGTGAGTGCCAGTTTCTCATGCTACCAGGAATCCCTCATACCATGTAGATAGAATGCATTGCTCCTTGGTATTCTGAGGAGCTGTGGGGTTGATGAAATGGGCTGGACAAAGAGTGGTGGAAATCTCACTCCAAAGCTGATAGAAAGCTGATACATTGTGTCTATCACATGGCCTTGAAGGCAATGACATTACAGTTGACTTGCATCCATTGCATCTGCAAGAAGTCAGCTCCAGAGTTCCATGTTGTCTGGGGACTTGTTACCCCAGATTTGTGGGGCAGACCCCTGGAGCACAGAGTGCCTAACTGCAAGTGGTTTGTAAGGCAACTGAAGGACAAGGTTGTTCCTGTTTGGAGTGATTTAGATGCCGCTGTCACAGCAAATCCAGCCCAGTTGTCCAACACTTTGTCTGGTCCAGTGTTATGGGATCAGCTCCAGTCAGTGCAGCCTGATGTGGACAGGATCCTTAAAGTGATGCATCTGGCCATGCACAGTCTTAGATCACTGCTCTTCTTGGCCAGAGTAGAATAGCCAGGTGTGTTACAAAAGCATTGTTGCCTGATTAGGTTCTGCCATCTGCCCTTAAAAAGGCAATGGTGTGGCTGATCCTTTAAAAACCCAACCCTAGACGCAATGGTGTGTAATAATTAAAAGCCAATTGCCAGTCATCCTCTCAGGGGAAGGTTTTTAGAGAGAGTGGTGGCGAAGAAACTGCAAGTGTTCCTGGATTTTGTTTTATTAGTTATAATGAGTATTCATATTGCTTTAAATGGTGTTTTATTGTTTTACAACACCCAGATATTTTATGATATAGTGGTACAGAAATACTTTTAGAAAGAAAATATTGTATTTAAAAAGCCTAAGAGTGCATATTACCATATAAAATGTAGATTTAAGTAATTTTTTTTGTCTTCCCCCAGCAACTTCATCCATCGGCCACAATCCAAGAAGCCCAACAGTGGTTGCTTAAACATAGATTTTCCACTTACGCAAGGCTGTTTTCAAATTTCTCAGGTACTTACAAGATCAACTTTTAGGTTTGCTTGTTTTCCAAAGTAGCTCTTCATCCCATGGGACTTCATGTATTTCTGATATATAAGTCAAGTGAGCAATATAGATTTAACAGATAACTTTGCTAGTTATCGGAAATTCAACCCGATTTCTTTTTTCCCTTGTCAGTTCTTTCCAGCATTTTTTATCGTTTTTATTGACACACTTGCAGCATCCCTTCTTCACTATAATCTTAAGAACTGCCTTGCTGAATCAGGCTAAGGGTTCATCCCATTTCCAAAAGTTACTTCTGGGAAGTCCAGAAACAAGTTGTGCAATTAGCATCTTTCTCCTATTTTCCCCTAGCAGTAAATGAATATTTCCTCTGAAGCATGGAGGTTTAACGAAGAAGTAATAGTGTCCTTCATGAAATTTTCTAACCCCCTCTTAAAACATCTGTGCCACTGGGAAGTTTTGGAAAGTAACTGTGTTCAATGTACTTTCCTCTGTCCTGTATTTGTTGTTGATCTATTTAATTGGGTGAGACTTCTCATATGAGAGTAGGAAAAACATCACATCACACTAAAGTATGTTGGGATGGGAAACAGAACCAAACTCCGAACCAAGCAAAGGATGATGGGAGTTGTAGTCTAGCAGCTTATGGCGGGGTCACAGGTTGTCCAGCTATGCTCTACACAGTCAATGATTTTTAGCACTTCCACCATGTTTTCCCTTAGTTATCATCTTCTAAAAATCCCCCAAGGCTTCTTTTGTGGGGAAGGTGCTCCAACACTTGATTATTTCTGTACAATATCTCTTTTGGGATGTGCTATATGTGGTGTTCCAGATATGGCTGTTATTTCCATAAAAACATGATATTGGAAGTCTTCTGAATAATCTTGTGTCGTCTGCAAAGTTGGCCATCTCGCTGCTCACTCCTGATGCCGTGCCCTTTATATGACCAACTTAATAGCAACAGTTGCAGCATGATACTATTTGGATTCTTTTGTACCAAAAATTATGATTGTCTGCCTTCTCTGTGGATTGTGTTTTTTAGGCTACTAGTTGAGTTGTGAGTGTCAGAATTCATCCCTGCCAAATAATATGCTGGAAGTGAACTTTCTGCCTTCTTTCATGCTTAGTCACTGATCAAGCATGTCTTTGGAATGCACACTCGTTGAGAGTAAATGTGAATAGTGGATAGTGAAAATAGTGCAGGTTGTTGTTGCTACAGCCTTCTCTTGTTGTTCCAACCCCAGTCATTATTGTGTAGAGGCATAATTAGAACCTTAACATAGTTTCCTTTGAATATGGAGAAAGGAGAGAAAACACAGCAGCTTCAATCTCTGCCTTAAAACAGCTGCTATCCCAAGTGGCAGCAGCAAGACAAGAGGTAAACAACACAGAACCGTAACCTGAGAAACAGATGTCACAGTTGAGACCAAAGCAGAGAAGTTGGAGAAGAGAAAACATAGTCCAAAGGGAAAACAAGAATGTTTCCCCTCCCTTAACCATTTTAAATGTTAATTGAAAGTTTTGGGGGGCTTTCCTAAATGTTGGTTGCTACCCGAGGCGGATAGCTGTAAGGAGTCTTGAGATTTGTTGGCAGAAAACTGTAATTGCAAATGCTCTGTGGATGTGACACACTAATATTAGGGGCTGGCAGGGGGATCCTTGTTAGATTTGAATATGCATTACTAAGGCTTGGATGGGTGAACAGGATGGAGTTGGTCTCACCCAGCTGGGCCCACCCAAGTACTCTGTGCAGCATCTGGGTGAACTTGAGAGTTGAGGAGGGGGTCTATAATGAATCCATTTCTCTCCAGACTCTGTCCAGTTTGGGGGGGGGCAGGATCTAGAGTGTGTGTTCTTGGCACCCTGACCACCCTGTGATCTTTGAAGGGTGGTATAGAAATTTAATAAATAAGAATATGAATGCACAGTGAATGAAGTGCTGCCCGTAATGCCAAAGTTAGAAAATCCACTGTTCAGCCAAGTCCCTGAAGCCACGAAACTTGTTCTGTCAGAATTGGAAGGTTGAGCATATCTCCTTTCAGCTAAATGTTTTGGAGATGCACTTTAAGCAACAGTGGCATATTACAACTGTGGACATTGCATTCTGATCGATATATTATATGGATGCTATTCTGCTTTATTTCTGCAGGTGCTGATTTACTGAAGCTTACAAGAGAAGATCTGGTACAAATCTGTGGTCCAGCTGATGGAATTCGGCTTTACAATGCACTTAAATCAAGGTAAATATTATCCCTGTGCCAACTCTTGCTTGCATCAGTTTTGTACGAAAGTCTGTTTTAGACTAGAGGGATTTGGGAGATATTAATTTAGATTTTCGATTGGCATATGCCTGTGTGAGCTCATGCAGGAGTTGGAAGTACTGTGCTCAAAAGAAGAATGTTTTGTTGTACACCTTCAGGGCAGGCCACAGATATGATGCAGGCACTGATGAGCTCAAAGGTAGACTGTAAGACTGGTAGCAATGCAGTTGGGCAGTACTGATTTCTTGAAGACGGATGGGTTTGTTGCCAAGAGACAAATCTTCTCATTTAGGTGAGCTATAACCAACCTAAAGTTCTTGAGGTCATGGCTACTAAATATTAACAATTGCAGATTTCTAACTATGAATTAAGCTGGCATAATAGATGGTTAACTTGCTGTTACTTCTGTTACTCAAGTAGTTATATTACAAAATTGCACCATACACCAGTGTCCTAATTGCTTTAAGTTTGAAGATTAATTCACCATTAGACAATCTCAGTGGTTCTGAGATGAGTCATCAGACTAAACAATCTTTGATAGTTTGCCTCAAATGTGAAGTAGTTTGTAAAGAAAATAGTGTTAAAGTAACAAAACATAATGACGTACGTCCATTTTATTTTGTACAGGAGTATTTATTTTCCCCCCTTACATTCCAGGTCTGTTAGGCCACGTCTAACAATCTATGTATGCCAAGAGCAATCAAGAAGTCTACAACTTGAAAGGCAGCAAGACTCAGGCAGTGGAGAGAGCAGGAATGGTGCAATATATGGTATGTGTCTGTCAGGAACTTATTTTAATATATTACTATATGGGACTATATTACTATACATTGGAGGATTTATTCATCACTTACAGCCATCTTTAGGGCTGAAGGTTTTTTGAGTATTTGTTTGGAACAAATAAAAGTTAAATTTCTACTCTGCCAGTGTGAGTAGTTTATAATGGACAGAACTATCGGAGCTTCCGCAGTACAGAGAGCTGGTGTACACTTTATGTGACCTAATACACAGAAAAATACTGGTGAGGATAAACAACTTGCAAGCATCAAAGAGGGGGGTAAAGTTACAGATAGTCTATCATTTGACATGCTGAGAACAAATCATACCAGATTGGCAGTAACTGCTCTCATTTTTTATGTAGGTTGGTTAGTAAAACAGAAATGTAAAGTTGGCATAGACTAGACATACACACATCTTTTTAACTTGTCCCACAATGCAGCCTTCACAGATGCGGCTTGGATTCGTAGGATCTAGTCAGCTGAAGTGTAGGATTCTATAAGGGGTCCCAGATGTGATGCTATTTAACATTTTCATGAATGAGCTACGCAAAGGGCTCAAATTTGCAGATAACAAAACTGAGGAAATTGCAACGCTAGAGGAAAAGCTAAATTTTTAGCATCTTGATATACATGTTAAGTAAAATGGAGCTTAACAGGGACAAATGGAAAATGCTACATGAAAGGATGAACAGAGTGTGATGGTTTAAGGGCTGCATCTATTTAAATCTTACTTGTCTGGGTGAACAGGATCTTAACTGCTTGCAGCAACTAGAAACCATAGCAACTGCTATGCACTATGAAGTGGCACTGGAAATACCTCTTTGCAGGATGATGCAGAATGATGTGTGTCCCTTACATAGACATTGTACGCTGCCCCTCTGACTATGTGGAACTCGTTCAGAGCACCGTGTAGGCAGAACACACTTTGTCTTGGCTCAGTTCCAGGAAGTTATGGGAGCCATTGATGGCTTAGGATTCTGGGCCCTGTTTAAAGGATTTGGTATCGAGGTTGTGCTGAATCAAATTGAGACACCAAACACGGATGCTGTTATTTCTGTGGTGGCTGGGAAGTGTGTTTACAGTTAACGCAAGTGCACTAAGCCCCTTGAATGATATGATTTGGCCGCAGTTAGTAAAGGTAAAGGGACCCCTGACCATTAGGTCGTCGTGACCGACATTGGTGTTGCCGGCGCTCATCTCGCTTTATTGGCCCGAGGGAGCCAGCGTACAGCTTCCGGGTCATGTGGCCAACGTGACTAAACCGCTTCTGGCGAACCAGAGCAGCGCACGGAAACGCTGTTTACCTTCCCGCCGGAGTGGTACCTATTTATCTACTTGCACTTTGATGTGCTTTCGAACTTAGTTACATCCTGTTTGGATCCGTAACACGGTCTTTGTGGGCTGCTTTTGGAAGTTCTCAGAAGCTTCAACTGGCTCAAAGAGCTGCAGCCAGATTGCTGACCATATGGACTGCCACCTTAGAACAGCTTCACTGGCTTCTGGTCTCTTTGCGGGCACAATTCTGTGCTGTTTATGCCCTGGAAAGCCCTACATGGCATAGGTCCAAGCTGTCTGAAAGACCGTATTCCCTCATACAAACCTGCCCGTGTTTTGAGCTCTTCAGGGGAGCCTCTTCCCTCGGTCCTGCTACCCTCACAGGCACATTGGGTGGGGATGTGGGAAAGGACCTTCTCAGTGGCTGCTCCCAGACTCTGGAATTGGCTCCTTGGATTTGTCCTCCTTGTTCCAACAGGCTTTCGGGCACTGACTGTGAGCTTTCAATGAAAGGGCTAGTGCTGTGTTGTTTTTATTATAATTAATTGTATGTTTTAAACAGATTTTATATCTGTATAGAATTTTAATTCTATCGTTTATTTTTTTATTGTTTTCACCAGGTTTTTAATTATTCTTCTTTTTATCTCGAGTCCTGTCAGGGAAAAAGGCGGGTTATAAATGGATATAATTAATACATCGATTTGTTTCTTTTGTGAATGGCATTTAGTTTTTTAGAATACAGATTCTAGTAACTTTCACAAAGAAAATAGTGGTGGGAAGTCTGTGCTGAAGGAACACTGCAAGAGTACTTTAAAAGATATTTTTATTTTAGTTTATCATGCAATCTACTTGGAAGAAATGGCTGCCTCCGAAGTCATGCGCAAACTTGCGTTGGTGTTCAATATTCCTTTGCATCAGATCAACCAGGTTTACAGACAGGGTCCTACTGGCATCCATATTCTCGTCAGTGACCAGGTAAATGACATTGTTTTCAATATATCTATATACTGGGCCCTCGGGTGAAGGGTTAGGACAGCCCTGGCCATGTTGTTCATAGTAGCCACCCATACCCCAGGTCCCTGCTGTCAGAATGGAAACCATTCAAACTTCTTTTTGAGGTCACTCTTGAACCTCCCATGAGCCTTATTTTTTAAATAATCTCTAGAGTTCACAATGCCTTGTTTCTGTGCTTGTTTAAATTATAGCATATGTCAGACACGAGGTTGCCCCCAAAAAGTTTGGGGCAAATTTTATAATTGTGCAGCTGAGCCAACAAATGCAAAAAAAACCCCTTATCAATAAAATATGGACACCCACACACGGCCACATCACTGTCACTCGTCATTGAGCACAGAAGACTTGTATTTTTTAAAAAATACCATGCAGACATAATACAGTGGTACCTCGCAAGACGAAAGGGTTTTTTGTTTTTTTAGTTGCTTCGCAAGACGAATTTCCCTATGGGCTTGCTTTGCAAGACGAAAACATCTTGCAAGTTTGTTTCCTTTTTCTTAAAACCGTTAATACCCAGGGTGCATTGCTTGAAGAGGTGCAGTTGCACGCGGTGTGGTAGCCTTTTTTGAGGTTTCTGAAGACTTTGGTGATTTTTGAAGCTTTTCCAAAACTTCTTTTGAAACCGTGCTTCGCAAGACGAAAAATTCGCAAGACGAAAAAACTCGCAGAACGAATTAATTTCGTCTTGCGAGGCACCACTGTAATGACACTTTTTTACTAGAGCAGCAGTATTGAAATGAGGAGAGCAAACACTGAGGCTCAGGTTGCTGCTTGTAAAACAGCTTGGCTCTCCTTGTGGCAATTTTGGGTGATGCATGAAAGTTGGGTACACTGCTATGCATGTTTCCAGCATGTAGCTGCATTTAATTGTCTTTCTTCCTAGATGGTTCAAAACTTTGAAGATGAAAGCTGCTTCCTAGTTACCACAATAAAAGGTATGCTAATAATGGACAAAATCTAGTGTTGAAAATGATACCCTTAGCTTAGTTTTAAAAACATGTGATGCACTGGCTTCCCTGCATTTCTTACTTACCAGTAGTTTTTTGCTGTATATTAAATTAAAGCAGACTTGCATTTACCGTATTTTTCGCTCTATAACACGCACCTGACCATAACACGCACATCGTTTTTAGAGGAGGAAAACAAGGGAAAAAATATTCTGAATGAAACAGTGGACGTATCATTTTTGTGCTTCATGCTGTGGCCACAGACATGTGATCTGATGGTGAATTTGGGGTGACCCAATGCAAAAATCCTGAGAATCCCTGTGGATCCATGCTTTGTAACCACGTTTTTGCACCATTGCAGCCCCAGGCAACAGTGGGTGCGTGATTTTTTTTTTGGGGGGGGACAGGCTGTAGCCATGGACATGCTATGTGCTCTGATGGTGAATTTTGGCTGACCCAATGCAAAGATCCTGAGGATCCATGTGGATCCATGCTTTGTAACCACGTTTTTGCACCATTGCAGCCCCAGGCAACAGTGGGTGCGTGATTTTTTTGGGGGGGGGGGACAGGCTGTAGCCATGGACATGCTATGTGCTCTGATGGTGAATTTTGGCTGACCCAATGCAAAGATCCTGAGGATCCATGTGGATCCATGCTTTGTAACCACGTTTTTGCACCATTGCAGCCCCAGGCAACAATGGGTGTGTGATTTTTGGGGGGCAGGCTGTAGCCATGGACATGCTGTGTGCTCTGATGGTGAATTTGGGGTGACCCAATGCAAAGATCCTGAGGATCCATGTGGATCCATGCTTTGTAACCACATTTTAAGTGGGGAGGGAAGGAAAAACACAGAAGGCTAAGAATGCAGGAGAGGGCTATAATGTGAGGAAAGGAAGGCAAAAGTTCCCCCCCCAACCCACCCAAGCCAGCCAGCGTGCTCTCTCTCTCTCTCTCTCTCTCTCTCTCTCTCCCTCCCACCAGCATGACAGAAGAAAGCATTTTAACTGCATTAAGAACTATTTAGCAGCGAAACCTAAGCTTTGCCATCCCTTAAGAGGTACAGACACTGTAATCTTCCAGATCGCATGAATTTACAGGCAAAACACTGTTTAAGGATTTCATCCTTTTAAATGGAAGAAAGCATATTTGAATGCTGTGTGTCTCCAAAAACAAAAAGCAGGAAGTCAAATCAGAATTTTAAGCCGAACCTGTAATCTCTCTTCCCTTTACAAACATTGTTCCCTCCGGAGCAGGGACAGGATAGAGCGACGCTCTGCTCTCCTCTCTACTTGCCTGGAGGGGAGGGGCTTTCCCTGCTCTTTGTTCGGACGCTCTGCTTTCCTCTCTACTTGCCTGGAGGGGAGGGGCTTTCCCTGCTCTTTGTTCCGTTTGAGCAAACACAGCAACGAAACAGAGCAGGGTGGGCAGTAAGACCCTGAGGCAGAATGCAGGAAAGCTGCAGCTTCCTGTCTCACGGAGCTCCCTTCTCCCTGAAGCGCGGTTTGATTTTTGCCTCATTTTTCGGCTCCAGGGACACACACATTCGCTCCATAACACGCACAGACATTTCCCCTTCCTTTTTAGGAGCAAAAATCTGCGTGTTATAGAGCGAAAAATACGGTAAATGTTTTTACATTCTGTTTTTAAATACCTTCCATTATTTGTGTTCTGAAATTGAATATGTTTTAAAGTTGCAACATGCTTCTCCTGAACTTGGGACTACTTTCAATCACTCTGTATGCTGTCATTTAGACATCATTCAGTAAAAAAAAAGGAACTACTAAAGTTACACTTGAAAAATGTTTTCAAAGTACAGTGGTGCCTCGCAAGACGAAATTAATTCGTTCCGCAAGTTTTTTCTTCTTGCGAGTTTTTCGTCTTGCGAAGCACGGTTTCCCATAGGAATGCATTGAAAATCAATTAATGCGTTCCTATGGAGACCGCCTTCAGACCAGGTCCAGGGACAGTCTGTCCCCAGACCTCTTCTGAAGGCTGGCGGGGGGAGAAGGACTTTTCTCCCCACCGCCAGCCTTCAGAACAGCCTTCTGAAGGCTGGCGGTGGGAAGAAAAGCCCTTCTCCCGCCGCCAGCCTTCAGAAGAGTTCCCTGCAGGGCTGCCTAGGCTGCGGATAGCAGCCTGCTGCCCGGTGCGAGGCAGACATCTGCAGCTTGGGGAGCCCTGCAGAAGTTCCCCGCAGGGCTCTCCAAGCTGCGGATAGCAGCCTGCTGCCCCGGCGAGACATTCGCAGCTTGGGGAGCCCTGCAGGACTTCTCCGCAGGGCTCTCCAAGCTGCGGATAGCAGCCTGCTGCCCCACACGAGGGGCGCTCTTAAGCAGAGCGCCCCTCGCGCGGGGCAGACATTCACAGCTTGGGGAGCCCACTAGAGTCTCCACTAGACCTTGCCGGCACACAGAAGCTTGGGGCACGCTGAGCTCCACACGCCCCAAACTTCGGGATTACGCTCCGCTAGCCGTGTCTAGGCTGCGGATAGCAGCCTGCTTCCCGGAGCGTCAGGCGCCCTGAAAGCAGAGCGCCCGGCGCTTCGGGAACACATCCGCAGCATGGGGAGCCTTGCAGGAGTTCCCTGCAGGGCTCCCCACGCTGCGGATAGCAGCCTGCTGCCCGGCAGGTGGGGCGCCGTGAAGCAGAGCGCCCCTCGCGCCGGGCAGACATCCGCAGCGTGCGGAGCCTTGCAGGAGTTCCCCACAGGGCTCCCCACGCTGCAGATAGCAGCCTGCTGCCTGGCGGGTAGGGCCCGCTGAAGCAGAGCGGCCCGCGCGCCAGGCAGACATCAGCCAGCCCCACAAGCTCGGGGGACAGCAGGGAGGCGCAGCGCCACTATCCCGCTGTTCCTCGACCTGGTTCGGTTTCCCTGACCTGCTTTTGGGGGGGAAATAAAGGGGAAATTTTTTTCCTTTATTTCCCCCCCCCAAAAAAAACTAGGTGCGTCCTATGGTCCGGTGCGTCCAATCGTGCGAAAAATACGGTATTTCATTTTTGCTGAATGACGTCTTTCCAGAATTGTGAGATACTTAGGCATAAGAACTGATGACATCGGTCTTCGTAGAGTAGAATAAAAACTTATTTCAAGGTCTTATGGAACCCATAGTTTGGCAGTTCAGTGAGCCCTAGAAAATACTTTTAATAGCTTTTTATATTCATGTGCTTTCATTATAAAATTTTATTATAAATTGAAATAATGGCTCCTTTTAATGTTATCTACAGCTGAAAATGGCGAAGGCTTCCATATAATTTTGAAGTGATGTTGCCATACAATATAATGGACTGATATTCCAGTATAGAATGAAGTCATGCTCAAGAATGACAAATAACATCGTTTCTTCAGGGATCTGACTTCACCGTATAGAATGTTTCATATTGAAAACAAAAGGTGACCTTTCTAATGAGCTGTTTAGTAGATGAACTTCCCACTGCCATAGCCAAAAGTCCTCATAAGAGGTAACAATGCCGGAATAGCTAACATACAGGCATGGAAAAAAACAAAGGAAACAAAGGTGTTTGCCCTTTTTAAAATTAAGGCAAGCTATGGCCAGTAGATGCAGTTTGTAGAAGCGTTACTGCTTTCCTATTACACTGTATCCAGTTTGAATGTAAACTTATTCTGGGCATTTACCTTTCTGTGCCAGTTTGTCTATTACTCGCTTGTACCTTTATGCTGATTTTATTTTTTGCTGTTAGCAGAGCACATAGTAATTTGTGTGGAAATAAGTAGTAAAAATGATAGCAATCAGGTTTTGGGTCTTGAGAGTAAAGCTGTCAAAACAGCATCCTCTGTGTAAATTGTGTATAAGCGTGAATGTAAGAAGTGTAAATGTCAAAAGGTGGACTTACTGAAAGTCCTAGCCAGATGAAAATTAAGCATGCAGCAGACCGCATCATCAGTACCTATTTGAGAGGATAAGAAGAAATCCTGTGAGGTACAATACTTTGCTTTGTAATAGGCATGTTACAGAAAATCTGCCTATGCATCATGTCTTTTTTAGTTTTTCTATAAAGCACTACTGCAGCATTTCAGTGTTTCACTTTTTGAACCACACTATTATTAATAGTAGTGAGTTGGGACTTCCTCATGGAGAAAAAGGGAATGTCACTGACACCAAGGGACTATTCTGAAGCAGAAATCTACAAATCAAACGTTGATTTTGGTTACCGCTCTAGTTCAAGACCAGGATCTTCCCATGTGTGAACTGTTTGTTGCTTTTTTCCTCTGACTGTTGTGGAAAACCATAGTTACAGTGCCTCTTCCATACAACCAAATACTTGATTAGCAGTTGCACAACTTAATGAATGAGCTGCAAAAATGTCCTTAAATCTTGGCTGAAGAGCAGAGAACTATCCAAGGACAGGTGCACATGTCTGCTCTGCATATAGGTTTGTGGGAGATTCAGACAGAGAATGCTGGTTGTTCCGTCATGGTAGGTGGCTTGCCCCTTAATCAAATAGCTAAAATCTTAACTGATGTATTGAATATTTGAAGGTGGGAAGAGCAGCATGTCAAATACTGTTCTTAATTCCCATTTATAATTATGCCTAGGTTAAGTCTTTATGTTAAGAATGTTTTTTCATTCCTAGAGTAGGATGAGGGCTTACTCCCCACCCCCCATGACCTGGACTATTCTGCACTGATGGGGAAGGAGAGTAGAGTTTGTGAGCATACTTCATTGTTTGAGTTTTTCTTGCCTATAAATTATTTTGGTTGTACTCGGGTGTCTTCAATGGACTTGATGCATCATCTCATTTTTCTAATCTGTGGAGAATCTGAAAAATGTCACTAAATTATAAAAGCTGTACAGTAGTTTGGTTCACTTGGATTTAATTATGGCACCAGCAAATTGCTTTTTGTTTTTAAATAAGATGTATACATTTCAATTTCAGTAAAAACATTTTCCAATAATTGTTGTATCTTTCCTTACTTGCAAAGCAATACTGAAGTGCAGGTGGTGCTGAGATCTTTTTGTTTGGACAGAAGCTTTCCACCCATTTCCCGCTACTCATGTATGAAAACTGTGCTGTTGGCAGAAGATTGACTCTTGCATTAATTTGTCTTTCGTGGGGCAGGGGGAATGATTGAAACCAGTCTAAATAGGGATGCCTTTATTTAAATAGTGTACCAAATTTTTTCACTTTGAGCAAGTACCTTTTTAATAACTGGAATTTCATAAACACGTTACCTTATAAGAGTTGAACACATATCAAAACAATTTTGTTTGACAAGCTATTAGATTTTCCCCCGTGACAGCTTAGATTACCATAGACAGATAGCAAATCAGACAGATATGGTCTGCAGACTATTCCTCTCAACAGAAAAAGAAATACATTTTCCATTGTTGGCAATCAATGTAATGCATAATCTAGCTGTAAAGTAGTCTCAAGACATCAGTACCTAGCATTCCCAATCATACATTTTCTCCTCAATTTGATTACCCCTTAGCTGAAATGAATCAATTCCTTTAATTTTCAGTGTGCTGTGAACATAGAGTTCAGGGCATACACTGGCTATGTTAATACAGTGGTACCTTGGTTTACAACCATAATCCGTTCTGGAGGTCCGGTTGCACTTTCGCTAATGGGGCATCCCCCAAAAAATGGGTTGTACAGTGATACCTTGGAGTTACAGATGCTTCAGGTTACAAACTCCGCTAACCCAGAAATAGTACTTTGGGTTAAGAACTTTGCTTCAGGGTGAGAACAGAAATTGTGCAGCGGTGGCACGGTGGTAGCGGGAGGCCCCATTAGCTAAAGTGGTCTTCAGGTTAAGAATAGTTTCAGGTTAAGAACAGACCTCCGGAACAAATTAAGTTCTTAACCTGAGGTACCACTGTAATCCAAAAAAAGGAACACACACTTCTGGGTTTGACATGGTTGTAATCCAAAGCAGTTGCAAACCAAGGTACCACTGTATATGATTTACCATTATATGAATAACCCCCGTCAGGCTTAGGCATACTGCTTCTCCTCCTGGCATGGTAGTGAGAAGATTGATAATGAAAACTTCTAATCTCACTGCTGCACCAGAGACATGCACAAGTCCCATTCATATAACACAGCAGTGAGGAATAACCAGCTCTCTAGCTGTTCTTCAATTCCAACTTCCAGCAACCGTGGTCAGGATGCTAGAAGCTGCAATATCTTAACATCTGGAGGACCACACATTCTCCCTAATATAATATTACACGGTTTGTGCAACATTAATTGCTTGTGTATCGAGTGAGATATCTAATATGTCAAGCAGAACTTAACCCCTGCCACAGTACCACTGCTTATTTTCAGAAACATTGTATTGAGTTGTCCTAATATTTTTATGTTCTATATATTCATAATATTGCCTTCAAAGATTCCCATGAGACAAAAGCACTGTTCCACCTTAAATGCTTATTCCTTTTCAGCAAAGCCCATGTAACTACTAGACAATATGCCTTTCCTATTTAGAGCCCTACAAGAGTCCTTTCAGAATTTAGCAACTGGCTTATAATTGCCCTTGGGAAACAGCCTCTAGCATTTCTCCAATATAGGAAATTGGAGTGTCGGGGAAAGATGCAGGAGGCATCCATAAAACAGCAGGCAGTATCGTATGGGGCAGGTTTGAATGTTTTAGCCAGTTCCAGGTCTGAACCAGAGACCATATGTGAGGAAGACAAGGAAAACTGATCATACCCTCCAAATCAGTATGGTACAAGACTGAAGGTAAATACCATACTGCACTCCCTTAAATATGGTGGGCATGGATACCTTCTGGAAAGAACATTCATGGTAAGTAACCAACATTTCATTCTGAATAATGGCATACAGGAGGCATCAAGAAAACAATAGGACTTGCTTAAGCTGTCTGCTCAGGGAGGAGCATTACAAGTGACCATTCTAGGATTTTAAACTGTTTTTATTGATAATTTTAATATCTAGTGGTATATAAATTTTGTTAAATAAATCAAGGCAATCCCCTCACCTGAAATGAACAGCATAAAGACAGAAAACATGTCTTATTCTAGTCCAGACAAGACTCTCAAGAAATGGCCAGGAAAGAAAGAGATCCCCCTCTGAAGCACATCCCTTTTCTTATATTTTGATTAAAACATCCCTTAGGGCCTCCTCCCCAGTCACTGACCCTTTAAAGACATACCAGATTGTATTACCATTGTATATACCATTGTGTTAGCTTCAGAGGTCTAAATGGCAAACAAACAAACCTAGTATCTGCTATAAAGTCTAGAGGTCACCAGACAAATTCGAATTCTGTGCACAGTGGTACTTCGGGTTACAGATGCTTCAGGTTACAGACTCGGCTAACTCAGAAATAGTACCTCAGGTTAAGAACTTTGCTTCAGGGTGAAAACAGAAATTGTGCAGCAGCAGCAGGAGGTCCCATTAGCTAAAGTGGTATCTCATGTTAAGAACAGTTTCAGGTTAAGAACGGACCTCCAGAACGAATTAAGTTCTTAACCCGAGGTAACCACTGTAGCCTATTGTCAGTCTCCTGCCAACAGATCCTTCACCCAAAGGAAGGATGCACAAGACAAAATAGAAGCTGTGGAGGAAGTCTGCTGGCCGGTCTTTAACACCGGCTCTGAACATTGCTTGCCTAATCCTTCAAAGAGGTATCCCCATCCCAGGGGACCACTGCCTCCAACAATAGCACTACTACTGGGCCATCATCAAAGGGAAATTTGAACCTGTCCAAGGTCTTTTCTGGAAAGGAATAAAACTTTTCTGCTACTCCTGCAGCCTTCCTACCTTGCAAGGGTGTCGATCAATCAGCACTGACCAGCTTTCGGAACAGTGCCAGAAAGGGAACCTCACTGGAAGAAGAATTTGGAGCTGGAAAATCTGGTGCTTCTCTAGACTATGACTGGGATGTCAAGGTCTGCTTATGATTCCAGATCTAGGGACAATACCCTAGAAAGAAAAGGCACAAAATCATCAGAATGGAGTAACTGGTGTAAGCATCTTGCTGCTGCCATGTGAGACCACTCTTCTTCCTTCTCAGGGGAGTCCTAAGGATTCCTCTGTAGAGAAGGAAGAGGAGCCTCAGACCCTATACCCAAAAGAGGGGAGTCTTTCAACACATCATGGAAAAGTGCCCATAAAAAGGCTTGCATACAGACTCTTGAGCTGCTTTTGTTTCCCATGAGATTTGTTTTGTTCTTTTTTTCCTTTTTTCAACATTGCTGACTCTGGAAGGAGCAGGCATGAAGAGAAGCCCCTTTGGCCAGAGAGCTAGAACAAATGGCCCACCCTTCATGGGGCACCTGATGTCATATGGCATCAGGCATGGGAAAGGTGAAGCCGTGGTAGCAAAGGAACAATAGGGAGTGCTCCTGATGCTTCCTTTGCAGCTGCCCTGCTACTTTCAGAAGGGAATCTATTCCCCAGAGGCTCCTGGAGCCACAGTCCTTACGCTTCGATGGCTCCTCTCCTCTGACTGGACAGGCAGGATCACATGAAGATCCTTGCTGTGGGACAAATCGCCCCACACTCTCCAGACTGGCCCTGTCTTCTTAGCTAGGCAGATAGGTTCCCCCCCGCCCCCCAGCGCTGAATAAAATTTGGCAACTTTTACATGTGTTTGGTCTATTTCATTTTTCTTCTCAACCTTGCCTTTCCCCTTCAAATCCCCCTTCCCACAATCTTCGTACAGTGCACCAGAGCAGAGATCCAGAACAATTTATGGGCATCAGCTATACACAATTGTTTAGAATTACATTCCATTGAACAAAGGGAAGTTCCTTTGCAGCTGTGGCTATACCTGTTCCATGCTTGATGTCATATGAAGGCTGAAGTTCAACTCTGCATCACATGACACTGCCTGCTCTGGGGCACTGGGGAGTGTGATAAGCGACTATCTTCTGGGTGCTTCCTGCATACCATTCCAGAGAAGCCGCTTTGTTCAACAGGTTACATTTGCCTTTGCTTGAAGGCAAGTTATAATACTATGGCCTGTTCAGGTTCTGTAGAGCAACTGTGCCAACAGCTAAATACATTTTTGGTTACATGTGTTAAAGGTTTTCCCCAATGATCTTTAATACTTAAACCATGGAGGTGCAACTAACTGTAGGGTTCTACTGTTGGTATTTTGTTCTGATAAACTTGACACTCATATCTCCACACCAGGCTAGTACACATTGGCACTGCAATGGCAGAAATGCTAGAGGAGAATAGTCAATCCAAGTGCCAATACTGTTCCATATCTACGTGATATTTTACCTGTAAATTAGCATTGGAATTATGACCAGTGCAGAATTGGATGGTTGGAAAAAACAACACCACATTGTTTTATAGCTTAACCATGGTTGCTCCCAGTCATTCATTCTTTCATCCAACATCTTCAGTGCCACTCGTTACCTGCTAAAGAATAATGCAGCATCGGCAGAGTTGTTGGCGAGTGCCTCCTACAGAAGGAGGCGGAGTTACTGGAGCAAAGTAAGCATGAACTTTCACATCTGGTAGATGAGCCTGTAGGCAAAAATTAATACTCAATGAAGTGGAACAAGTTACCATGCAACTTGCATCCCAATATAGTAAAACATCTGCTTTGCTGCTGAACCCTCCCCTCCCAACAGGACCCCAACCATCAGTTCTGCATTGCCTTAATAAATTATGTCCACTTTAGTAATTTCACTAAATTGCCAGTCCTGTTCAGACTGCTTAGGCAGTAGTACGGGACTCCAGTTTCCAGGATCCTTTAGCAAACAATCATTACTTGAATTTTTGCTGGAGCTCATTCCAGAACAATCCACTTTTGTTCATCTTGCTCTGCAGAGCTAATAACTGCTAATGAAAAGCAGCCAAATATCCAGAATTCAGCGGCAACAGTATCAAGGTGATCCTGCCAGCCTTCATCCTAGCTTTATGAACTCACAGGAGAACAAAGTGTAGCTGCAACCAAAGCAGTTTTTCCACCTTTTCAAACAATTCTGTAACCCACTCTGGGACTTTAAGGTGAAGGACGGGGAATTTTTTAAAACAGTATTTCCTCCCAACCCTTGATAGAGACATCTGAAGAAATAAGCTGCTCATTTTTTTCACAAATCCCTTTCTAGAAAGAAAAATGGATATGCTGCTTCTGTTGCAGATGCATGGTGTTCTGCATAAATTTAGACGGCATTGAGTTCAGTATTGTGCACTCTTCCTGAATGACAGCCTACGATAGACACTTTATTAAATGATACGACACTGGTCTTGGTGTGTATTAAAAGTCATGCCAGGAGCTACCTTGATATATCAACACTGAGGCTCTGCATCTCAGCACAGTTGTGCAGTACGTACTCTTATTCTTTTGATGCCTGCACGGGTGACTTGCTGACAGTCATATAATTCAATTCTTTCTAAGTTGTGGCAATTTTCAAGATGCTCTAGGGTCACGTCTGTGATTAGAAGGCAGTTGTCCAATTCAAGTACTTGGAGTCTTTCATGTCCACATGTGCTGCTGCTCAGATGCAGAATCCCATCATCCGTGATCAGTTCACAGTGGGACAAGCTCTGTAACAAAGATGAGAAATGCAATGTCATTAATGCATATTTCTGTAACGGGTCAAATCCATCTCCTCTCATTTAGGAAAAGGATTTTTTTTCTGAGATGGGTGACTCCACTTATTCAGCTGGAGACAGGGCTTACAGAAATGTTTATTTCCCTCAAATTTTGACCTGCTTCAACTGAAGAAAGCAGAATTATCCATGGCTCTTGAGAAACTTTCTGTAGATGAAGTGAAATAGAAAGGCTAAACAAAACAGGATTTTCTACCCTTTTTGCAAGTAAAATAAACAAGTAAATAAACAGGAACTTACCAATGCTTGCAGTTTAGGGCAATGAATGGAAAGTTGTATCAATGTGTTATCTGTTATCTAGAAAGAAAGAAATTATATAGAGAACAGTGTCAAACTCAGGGACAGGCAAAAACACATATCAGGTAGTTTTTGTAGTCTGTAGGTTTTTCTGGACACAGAAGAGCATCATCTTTTAATGATACTTTTACTAGATCTGATTCAAAGGCCTTGTACAAATAGGTCTCACCAGAACACATTCTTCTAGGTCCATCTTTTCTAGTTCACGGCAATTCTAAAAGTGAGGAAAAAAAGCATTCTACCATTAAAAACAAGGCTAAACTGAGAACTTAAGATTTTATAAACTTCCAGTATGACGTGTATACTTTATTGACATGTCAGGGGCTGACTAGATGAGGAACAGTTGGATTCAGACTCCTGGTGGTGGACAACCAGACACACCCCGGAGGGAAGAGCTGGGAGGTACTAGACTGGGAGTTTGGAGGACAAGGAAAAAGGGGCGACAAGCAGGTGCCCCAGCACAAAGCAAAGGCACCTCCTGCCAAGCCACCCCAACAATGTTTCTGCTGCCAGCCTGCCAGCTCCTCCCAATCCCAGAGCACGTAACAAAGCAGAGAGCCAAGCAGAGAAAGAAGGTACCTTGGGGCTCACACAAGAGAGGGGCATGAGACAGAGGGGATGGAGTGAAGTGGGAGGTGCAAGACAGTCTGAGCAATGGCTTGCTATGGGGGAGTACACTGTTGGAGTCTCCATGTTTTTTCTGTTCTGATTTCTTAATAAAACAACTAACTTCAAGTTAGCTGGTGTTGCTTTCTCTTTTCTGCGCTGCAAAGCATGTCAGCTCCCTTGACAATACAAAACTCATATGTACTGAATATGAATAACTGTGGTTTGTTTTTCCTCTTATCCTAAACAGGCTAAATACTCAGTGGGTACATACATAATACAGTGAAGCAACCCTTCCTTAATCTGGAAAATGTATATTAATTTTGCAATCAGTTTTTTTGAGAACTGAAACAAGGGAACTTGACCCTCATGCATAGCTGGGCAAAAGCAAGGTCACAACCAATTCAAGGGTTACCTAGTCAAACTCCCTGAAACAGACAGATTTCCTCCTTATATCTTTGCACATGCAGATATGTACTTGTGTAAGATACTTTTTTTAAAATGTGTGGTCAATGTGGTACAAGGGCTAGAGGTGTGTCTGGCTGTGTGAAATGGAGTTACAATATCCATCCATTTTTGAAACTTAATCTACCTCAAAGGGTTGTGAGGCTAAAAGTTTTACTATAAGATACTTAGAGGAAGTATGGGATAAAAAGTTAAATAATATTAACCTTACCTACCCGTGCTAGAAGTGCAAAACCAGCATCAGTGAGATGGGAACACCTTGCAGCCTCCAGAATCCTGAAAAATAAACATTTCTGCAGTTGAGAATAATCAGAAAGAAATCCTTGTGATGACACCAGGAACCTAGAATGTGATTCTATGCAATGGAAACAGGAATAAATAATACATCTACTATCCTAGATTATTTTATTATCTCTGTTGGCAATGAGACTACAAATTTCAAGTTCTGCAACATGACTAAAATCCTGTTTCTATGGCAGATACACTATAAGAACTGAAAATCTTGACTGAGACCTGAAAACATTTTAGTTGAGTCGGGGGGGGGGGGATGAAGAAGGCTGAAGTCTGTGACAGCTGTCATGTCTTGTGGATGTGGATGGACAGAGGTCATTATTAGCATTCTCTCATCATTACCAACATTCGGCCACACCTTATTGATCACATTCACAGTTTTGATGACCTGGAATTGACTATTTTTGGAATTCCAAACTGTTGAAGGCCTGAAGCAACCCAGGGCTATAAGCCAGGTGAAGTGTCTCCATCCATTTTTGTTCCTTTCATGCAATGAACCATCATGCCATAATGTACAGTCATACCTCGTGTTGCGTTAGGTTCATGTTGCATCTTTTCAGCTTGCGAACACGGCAAACCCGGAAGTGTATACTTCCGGGTTTTGCCGCACGCGCAGAAGCATTCTGTGAGCTTTGCGCAGGAGCAGAAGCGCTCCATCGTGCTCTGCACTTGCGCACAAGCACCGCTCTAGTTGCGGACTTTTCAGGGTGCGAACGGCACCCCAGAACGGATTGTGTCTGTAACTAGCGGTACCACTGTACTTAGTTTTTAAATAATTTTTATTAACAGATCAATCAAATCACAAATCACATTAATTCCAAATTACAAAACCAAATTTTAAATTTTTGTTGGGGGTACCCATGCTTCAAGCTCAGAAAGGGTCCAATCATCTCTTATTACTATTGCTTTGATGTTCACAGTTCTGTCCATTCATCTCTTTGTTATTTTCCTTTAAAAATCATCTTCCAATTTTCTTGTTATCATATTTTTTTCCCCTTTCTTTATAACCTCTGAAAGTCTCCACAAGCGAGTTGAACCAAACCTTGTTATAGTCCTGTGTGGATTTTCACATTAATCCAAAAGACATATTCAAACAGCAAATGCCATTTCGACACTTCCATGAAATACTGTCTCAGCGTTTGCTCTTTAACTTTCGCAGGCCTGTTGTTCCGACATCAATCTTTTCTGGGGGTTCTGCCTGATCAGACACAGAGTCAAGTATGATAACAAAGTCATGGCTTTCTCCCCTCTTGACCGTCAATCCTACAACAGAGTCTGTCATGGCAAATCTCTTTTAGAACTGCGTCATCCCAAAAGCCTTCCTTTGTTTTTCCAGATCTTTCCCAAAACAAAGCCTTTAGTTAGTGATTCATTTCCACACAGTTCATTAATCTATCTCACTTGTTGTCGATTACTGCAACGGTTCTTCTTGGGGGGGGGTTGTTAGGCAATCACATAGAGAGAAAAAAGTCCCCCCCTTTCCGCCCCATTCCAACATACCGACATCTTTGATGTAGTCCTCTTTGATTTATTTTCCTGTTCAGATCCAACCCGCCGCTCAGCTTCAGAGGTCGTTTTCAAATTAGCAATCAATACTCCCTTTTCTTCACTCGAAACATGTGCATTTGCTCTTCTCTAATTATTTATCTTGAGCGATTAGAAGCAGCGTCCGGAAGAGCGAAAAACTGCATACGAGGGCTTTCCGTCTAGTGCCCTCACCCCCTCCTTCTTTCAAACTCGGAGGTGATTTATAGGCAACCGCAGACGAGGCAGCGTTTTTCCATTCCACCTGGAAAAACCTCGGGAGGCTAATTACTCCCATATTAGCCTCTTAATTACCTCGTATGAGCCGGAGAGATGGTATTGTCGGCCATCTTCCAATGCGCCCCTAGCGGCCCCCCAGTATCCCTGTACTTAGGAGGACCAGATTAGGAGACCCAGTTTCAAATTCCTATTCAGACAAGTAGTTCAGTGGGTGGCCCTGGGACCATCTCTCTTCCCTCTATCTGATCTACCTTACAGGGTTGTTGAGAGAATAAAGGGCAGGTGAACCCTGAGCTCCTTGGGGAAAGTGTAGGATACAGATCTAAAAATACAGCTTGGGTGTACACAATTAGTTTCGGACAGGCTGCCTCCTGACAGTGTTTGCTGTCTGACAGCACATCACAATAGTGCTATACCCGTTCGCATCCTGAGTAGAACGCAACCCGCAACTGCGCGGGTCGCGATTTGCTCTTCTGCGCATGATGTCATTTTGAGTGTCTGTGCATGCGCAAGCAGCGAAACCCGGAAGTAGCGCGTTCCGTTACTTCCGGGTCGCCGCGGAGCGTAACCTGAAAACACTCAACCTGAAGCATATTTAACCCGAGGTATGACTGTACTACATTGTAGTGTGCCATTTGTACTAACCTTGTGCTAGCTTTTTGGATGCAACCAATTCAGACCATCTAAGTTTGTGATATATTAACTAGCATTGGAAGAATACTGATGGGATGCAATGATTATGTAGTTTAAGCTTGCTGCTTTTTTATTTAGGTAAAGTCAGCAAACAGAATTATCTTTTTCTCTCCTTAAATGGGAAATAGGCTGCTCGTTCACTTCCCATCTTGCATATACCAAGTGTTCTGTTTCTGAATCAGCATCATTCAAAACTATATTCACATCACTGATCTTATGCTATTGCTAAAGGTTCTATTGTTACAAGAATAGCTTGGTTCCAGTTTCTAGAAAGGCTAGAATACATCTAGGGTAACTTCAAGGAATCCCAAATAGCCTGGAAGAAGTTGCTCATTGTGGTGGTGGCAATGTTTCCTAGTGATTAGTCTGTTTTTATAACAGAACAATCCTTTTTACCTTGCTATGGATGTGTTTTGGAACTTGATTTTACACTGATGATGTGCTGAAGAAAGAGAGTTTAGAAAAGGAACTTTGGCTTTCACCCAGCATGTTACGTTTGCTGATCCATCCCTTGAAGTAGTTTAAAATTAACAATTTTAAAAACTGAAAAAAGCAGCAGGAAAAGAAGAAAAGTGCAGCCATAATCATCAGGAAATAAAAATTGCAAAACAAAATATAAAATGCACCAACCTTTCTATATTCACCTTAAGGGAAATAATGCAGAAATACATTGCAAAGAAAAATTCACCTCCACAAACAGACCCTAAGAAGAAGTGGGAGGGGAACAATATCAGGAAGAGGGAGATGCACAATAAACAGAACTGCCAATAACTATCATTTTTATTTTAAGACTAGCAAGTATCTGAAATTATGTGGTCAGGAGGGAGACAGAAGGCCCATGTATTTGAGGGCCTCCAGATGGAGTGGGGTCAACGGCGGAGCATATACCTGCGCTGCCCAGGGCGGGCGTGTTCCTGAGGAGGGCATGGCACAGAGGGTGTCCTCCCAGGCACGGGATAGCTGCTTGGGTGCACATGCCCTGCAGCCGGGGGCGGAGCAAGCCGCCCATGGAGGACATTCGGTGCACCGCCCACCCACGACTCCCAAGCCTCTCCCAAGCTGTCAAAACGAAGGGGGAAGGGGGGAATGCTGCCGGCAAAGCTCCCCCCTTACCCCGATGGCTCGGGGTGGGCTTGGGAGTTGTGGCTGGGTGGCGTGCCGAATGTCACCTCCCCCTCAGTGAGGGCACCTGGGGCAGTCCACCCCCCCCTTCCTACACCCCTGAGTGGGATGGGAAATGCATCTGTGTGTGCTCCCTGCAGAGTCTCATTTAATGGAGATTCTGCTAGGAATGGGAAGTAGGCTTTACCTGCAAGTATACCCATACTGATTTTCTTTTTTTGAGGAAAGGGGGAGGTTAGATGCCTACACCCACAGACACTGCTGGACTCATGAGCCTAACCAACACCACTGCTACTCATCTTACTTTCTGTTCCCGATTTTGGAAGATGTCTTATTTTTCCAACTTCTCTTAAATTATTAGCTTATCCTATAAGATTAAGTGGAATCTATCTTCCCATGCTAAAATTATAGGAGAAAAGCTGTTCCCCCTACCATGCAGCTTGGTTCTCTTTCCACACTGTCCCTAGTGATGTATAAACAATGTTTTGCTTGCCCATCCTCCTAAATCTTTATATGAATGTCTGGGGGAAATGCACAATTACACATTCCAGGCAAAATATACAAAGAAAGCAGAGAAAGATGAGGGAAGGGTTAAAGATAAATCACTACTTGCATATTGTGGTCTAATTAGCAATTCCACACTTTTTTCAAATGGGTGGCTCTGTTAGTCTATTGCAGCAAAACAACAAAGTTTTGTGGCACCTTCAAGGCCAGCAGATTTATTGTAGCATGAGCTTTTGCAGACTACAGTCTACCTTTGGCACATTTAAGTTAACAATGAAAAATATTAAATCTAATCAGGTCTCAGAAATTTATCTGTAATCTAGGATTACATTTTCTGTTAGTTTTCAGGAATATGCAAATTTCAATATATGTGACTTTAAAAATACTAAAATCACACAGGGGAGTATCCTAGCCATACTTACTTGGAAATAAGTCCTGTGGAACTTACTTAGGAACATAGAAAGTTGCCTTCCATTGGGTCAGGTCCACCTAGCTCACTGAGTCGCAGAACTTCTCCAAGGTTTCAGACAGGAGTTTTTCGCAGCACCACCTGGAGATGGCAGGGGTTGAATCTGGGCCCTTCCCCATTTTCCTGTTTTGCTTTTCGATAAATACGCATTGGACTGCATCATAGCTGTCACTGAAAACTATTAGGCACCTGCTAGTCTGATGACGATGAATGCAACTTCAAAGCAGAGGGAGACAACCACCACTCAGTAATGTGTGAACTGAATAGTACTCACTTCAGTCTTGGACAGTTCAGACCAAGTGCTACGAGGGAAGCATCTGTAAGGTTTGTACAACCAGAAACACAAAGCGATTGGAGTTGGTGACATCCTCTACAGATACCTGCTATGCCTTCATCCGATATTTGCTGTAGCAAAGAACAGTGGAAAGTTCTGTCATCTGAAGTTAGGCAATTTCTCTTAAGGTGTTATCAAGTTTACACAATTAAATAACAAATGTTAACAATAACAATTATCATGCAGTTTGTTCCATACTGTTCATTTTCACTACAAAGGCATGCTAGTCAACTTTTTTATAGATTCCGCTCTATAGTCATCTGGAAAGGAGTTTCCTCAAACACAGTGCTTTATCTTGCAGTTTGGTGCACTATTTCAAAGACTGATTTCCTTTCAACCTTGATAATGTGCATTTTGCTGAAGGAAGCAAGTATACTAGCAGCCAAAAAGAAAAAGAAAGGGAAACTTGCGTGCAAACATGCCGAACCATAATTATGTCAAGAAATCACTATTACAGTCAAACCTCGGTCCTCAAACGGGTCCGTTTTCAAAGGTTTGGCTCTCAAACGCCGAAAACCTGGAAGTAACTGCTCCGGTTTTTGAACCATTTTTGGAAGCCAACGTGCCACACGGCTTCCGTTTTGAATTTCCCTATTGCACTGAGGCTTCCACTTTCAGTTTTCGGTTGTCAAACATTTCGGAAGTCGAACAGTCTTCTGGTACAGATTACGTTTGACAACCAAGGTGTGACTATACAGTGGTGCCTCGCAAGACGAAAAGAATCCGTTCCGCGAGTCTCTTCGTCCTGCGGTTTTTTCGTCTTGCGAAGCAAGCCCATTAGCGGCTTAGCGCTATTAGCGGCTTAGCGGATCAGCTGATAAGCGGCTTAGCGGATCAGCTGATAAGCAGCTTAGCGGCTTGGGGAAAGGGGGGGGAGGAAAAAAACCCTGCAGGAACTTGCAAGACATTTTTGTCTTGCGAAGCAAGCCCATAGGAAATTCGTTTTGCGAAGCACCTCCAAAACGGAAAACCCTTTCGTCTAGCGGGTTTTCCATCTTGCGAGGCATTCGTCTTGCGGGGCACCACTGTAGTTCATGATTCTAGGAAAGCAAGAAAACGGCTGGAAAACAATGGGAGGGCACTGATGAGACTTTTTTGTGAGCTCTTATAGAGAAGGGGAAATATGAATCACCTGGCCCCCACTCCACATCTCATTTTTTAAATCCATCAGCAACCATGCTGGGTGATTGATTGATTGATTGATTGATTGATTGAGATCCAGCGCTGAGGGCCTTCTGGCGGTTCCCTCATTGCGAGAAGTGAGGTTACAGGGAACCAGACAGAGGGCCTTCTTGGCAGTGGCGCCCACCCTGTGGAACACCCTCCCTTCAGATGCGAAGGAAATAAGCAGTTATCCTATCTTTAAAAGACATCTGAAGACAGCCCTGTTTAGGGAAGTTTTTAATATTTAATGCTGTATTGTTTTTAACACTTGATTGGGAGCCGCCCAGAGTGGCTGGGGAGACTCAGCCAGGTGGGCGGGGTATAAATAATAAATTATTATTAATTATTATTATTGATCCCTTCCTTTCCTGCTAGCTGGGAACTGCTCTGGAGCTCCTAACAATGGCGTGGCACAAGTTGTTAGGTGTTATCACTGCTTTGGTGGGAGACGGAAGGTTAATTTATGATGTGCCCTTTTGTGTGTGTTGGCTATAATGGATCCATAACTGAGTTGTTTGGCTGAGCACCTGCTACCATCTTCATCTAGGTGTCTAGAGAAAAGAAATCTTGCAGGAACCATAGTAGAACAGCCTCTCTCAGTGATAGAGGGGAGACAGGCATAGCTAGAAGAGGGAACACCAAGATTACAGGTACTTGAGGACTGTGTCCCTCGCCAAATTCAAATAATTATTGACTACTGGTTGTGCTGGCTCGAGTTCATGGTTCCTCATCCGAACGGCCACAAGTTCCCTACTTTTGGCATGTCATGTGCACCAAATTCCTGACCTTGGAATTGATTATTTGCCCCTTCTTTGATATGCCCTAATAACTTTAGGCTCCTATTTTTGATATCTTCTTTTATAAAGTGGCACTTTATAAAAGAAAATGGAACAACCAGGACAAACTGAACATTAGCTGTATGACAATATTTTCAAAATTGTGAATGCATGGCAGAAGCTTGTTTGGTACATGTGTATTCTCAATATTAAACTGTGAAGCCTAGCATTAAAATTTTCTCAGAACAGAACCCAGAACAGCTTAAGTTCGAGAACCAAGGTACCACTGTAGTTTTCATCCTAGGAGAATGACCTTTTCCATCTAATCATAGAAGCTACAAAGTGCAAAGAGAAGTACTTACCATGCATGACTGCAAGTTTAAGATAACCAGTTCATGGCAATGAGTCTCAATGTGGTGAAGCGCCTCATCTACCAGCTGTATTAATGAAGAAAAAATAAATTGGCAGAAGAAGTGGACATAAGCAGTATGGCATGGCAAAATATCATGTCAATAAATGAATACTGCTTTACTATTCAAAAAAAACAACAAAAAACTTTGTCAGATACCCCAATATAAAACTCTTATGGGTTCAACTTGGTACCTTAGCAGGTTTGTACCTGTGTGCATCCTCTAAGAAATAGTGCTTTTAGTCCATTGCACCCTTTCACCAGTGCTTCAATGCCATCTTTTGTAATCTGATCACACCAGGAAAGATTCAAGAGTTCCAGATTTTGGCATCCCTCACTGCAACAAGAAAGAAAACAAAGCATTGTGTTTGAGTAGTTATTATAGCAGCAGAGACAAATTAAATTATTCTTAACAAATATTAAAGGTAACTGCCAGCCAGCACAGAACAAAAACTTGAGGGAAAGGCCACACACAGTCGTAAAGATTTAAACACCAGCAATACTAGTAATAGGCAGCACCAGTCGATTTCCAGATATAAACTTAAATCATTTCAATGCAAGTTGAATAATAAAAAGCTTTACCTTAAACTTCTCAAAGAGTTGTTTGTGATGGAAATACAAGATGTCAGATCCAGATGTTTTAGCCTGGGGCAAAATTTGCTAAGGCTAAAGCAAGTGCTGTAAAGGAAGAGAGGCACTAAAAATGAATCGAACTAATTTTTTAAAAAAATCAGTTTTCCCATCCAACACCATTGGCTTACCTATCAGTAATTTTTGTGCATCCATTAAGGTTCAAATGTTCAATGTTTCTACAGTTCTGTGCAAATGTTCTGCAAAAGCAATAAAATTAAAAAGCCCAAATAAGTAGAGCACATTTTTATGTACTAATGCACTCTCCCATCAGGCATTTACAATACATCAAAAACACAGTTGGCTGTGTTTGAGATAATATTCAGGTTCTGTCAGAGCTTTCAGGCTAAAAAACTATTTGCAACTTATTAATCTCATATCCATTCCTTTAATTATTATGCCATCATGTGAAGAAGTGTCTCTGCACAGCTGTTCTGCAATTCCCCAAACAATTAAAGTAAAATGTTAATTACGGTAAGAATTTCTGAATTATTTTAAATGACTTACAGTTTGATCCTATGATGACTGGAGAGAAAGGGACTTAAAATGCACATGACCAGGTTTTTAACATCCCATTCACAACCTTGTTGCCAGACAGTTCTAATAGCAATGTTAGAAACTGAGATATGAAAGCTAGGAGCTAAATGGCACCTTAAACCTAGGTTATGGGTGCAACAACGGAATGTCTAGGCATGCTTTTTTAATAACAAGAATACAAAACCATAAATAAATGAACTGCAGCTAAATTATGATGTTCATTTTTCACATGTTCTAGTCCTTCCCCTGCCTACCCCCCTAATATTCTTAAAAGGGTCTCTTCTCCAGTCTTCAGAGAGTAGCTCAAAGTGGGAAGGGAGAAAATAGTCCTCTTTTCCTTCCACTCTGCAGTTTTAATCTGAAATCTTAAGCACAGTACTGCGCCCAGAAGCTCAGAAACTGATTGCGCTAATGAAATTCCCTGTCACAAAATGCACCTAGAACAATGGGAGTTTCCAACACTGTCTAACAGGTGCTGCACTGATGGGGTCTGGCAGGCCCTACACCCCTGAGACACTTGCATTCAAAAGTTGTACAACCCTACATTCTTTCCAGTGATGGTACCGCAGGTGAAGAAAATGAGCTTCTAGCCAGGACCTACAGGTTTATTGTACCTTATTCCAGACAAGGGACTGTCACAAAACCAGCTAGCCAGGAAATGTGAGTAGCGGGTCAGTGGCTGCAAGATGTAATGCTTGTGACAGAATAGCTACTTATAGGGATACTGTAGGCAATGCACCTCTCACTGTCTAGTTTGTTCCAGTCAGCAATGGCAGACTCCCTTTCCCCTTTGACTAACCAATTCTGGGTTCAGAGCTCAGCTGCACTGGCATTTTCATCAGTATCTTTGTACTCATGATCCAGAATTGGTCAATGTGGTACTGTGTATTCTACTCAAACACTTGTTGCAGCCTCCACCTTTCCATCATGGTTGATGCTGAAAACTGTAATGCAATTTTAAAAGAGCAACTTTTAAAATATTACTTACTTTAAAGAAGTATCTCCAACCCCAAGACAGCCTCTCAGACTCAGTTGTCTCAGGAACCCACCACATCTTTTGGAAATATTTTCTAAGACCCGGCCCTTAAACAGATGAAACAAATATCAACTTCATATCTAACCAGATGCCTTTCAAGAGGAGCTCCATGCCAGGAAGAATAATGTCTAAAACAGACAAAAACAAAACAAAAAATGTTTTTATTGCTGAAGACCTCAAGCCAACTCTGTTTAAATGAACTGCCAGGGATACTGGGAAGAGCCATACATGGACATGGCAAACTGATCACTTTTAGCATACACAGATTTCTTCAAAAATAAATAAAACTTACATGGTGGTGGAAATCTCACACCACCTAAGTATGTAGGCTCCAGTATTGGAAATGCTCAACTAAAGTATAAAGAACCTGCTAAATCAGGGCCAATTTAAACCACAACCTTTCCTCTTTGCCAGGACGGAAATGCCCCATTCTAGATTTCTATATCTCTGAAGTTTAGTTCTTTGTTAACCTAACTGAATCATAACAACCTGGAAACAGGACAGTATGTGCAGGATTGAGATCAATGTTAGGAAGTGCTTTCTGTTGCAACATTTGAGATACAATGCAAAAACCTTTAAAACTCAATGTCCATTTATCTCCCATAACAGCAGAGTGCATCATGATGCAGGCCATGAATTCAAGCAGTACCCAACTTCAAGCCAGAGGGTACTAAAGAATTTAAAGATCTTAAAGAGGGTTAGCCTCTCTAAGAATCTAATGTTATCCACAATGGGATGGAGCCTAAGAGAGGTAGTATGAAGGCAGAGCCTTAAAACAGGCTCAATATGGGCTCAACTTTTGTCAGAGCAAGCCACTCATTCAGAGCTATCTGTAGTTCTGATCTGCCTTGCCCTGTGGGATCCAGCCCCAGACCAGAACAGGACATCGTTAGGCTTCTTCTCTCTCTTTTTTAACTATGTGACTGGTGCAAAGAGGAAAAAGATGCACTATAGCAACAATGATGGAGCAGTCCTAAGCTTCAGTGGTATATGGAAAAACATTTCTTACAAAAAGTTTCATTGATTTCTGTTAAGAAAATACAAAATAAAAGTTTGCAATATTTGTTTTAAGAAAATAATAATAATTGAATGCCTTAAAAGAACTATGAAGTGGAGACAGCGAAAGCTCAAGGCATTGTGTAATCCCCTCAGCTGGTAAAACCTGTAGATTTAATTCTTTTTCAACCTTTTGAGAAAGCTGCCTGCCCATCATTTGTTTTATGTACAGAAAAGTAGTTTTTCATTATTATCCCTTACTTTATATGCAATGTAGCAAAGTAAGAAAATGAAACCAGACATAGTGCAATCAGTGGGCAAGAGGTCAGATGAGGTTTTGCCTGTTGCTCTAAAAAAAAAAAAGATAATTAAAAGCAATTGACTACTTTCAAATCAAAGTTCAATCAATAATGCTAGATAAAAAGGTAAAATTAAATCAAATCTGTACTTCAAAGTTTCAGTTTTACATTGTTTTTATGATAGTGAAAAACGTTAAGTGTTACGAACCTCTACATCTGTCTGAAAGTTAAAAAGGTCTATTCTTTGCCAGTTACTCCCATCCAGGGCCAACACATTCCAAGACTGAAATAAACAAAGAACACATATATGCACATTATAGATATAGATATATGTATGTATGTAACATAATAACCAATGTCTTTTCAAAACATCACTCACAAAAGGTATGATGAAAGCATGAAGAATTCAGAACTAGGATTTTTCCATGTTTAAAATGGTTCTTAATTGAGGAAAACTACTTTTTAAGCAATATTTTTAAGGCCCAGTTTCTTGAGAGATAAATATCCTGTAAGAGTGCAAGAATATTACCCAAATGCAAAGTTAGATGAAATAATACTTACTTGGTATGATAAAGTAGCTAAGAGTGCAACTTGTGAGCCAACTTTTAATTTCACCTCAGTTATGAACTCACTAGGAAGTCTTAAACAAACCACTATTCTCTTTAGCTTATCATTTGCAGATAAATAATAGATAATAATAATAGGGGAAACTGGGAAGGACTGTCCTACAGTTTATTCAAAAGGTCAATCAACTTTCAAATGCAGCCCAACAGAACACCCTTTCGCAGTAAATATTCTGCAGAAAGAATTTAAAACAGAAGCATATCTTAAAAGGCAAAGGTAGGATAATCACGGTAATATGCTACCTTCCAAGAGAATCTCATTCTTTTGTGATTCAATCTCTGCTTGCAATTTGTGTGTGTGTATTCTACAATCACATTTAACCCTGGAGAAGAACCAGCATCTGGTATATACACTTCAGGTTACAGTCTCCACTAACCCAGAAATAGTGCTTCAGGTTAAGAACTTTGCTTCAGGATGAGAACAGAAATCATGCTCTGGCGGCGCGGCAGCAGCAGGAGGCCCCATTAGCTAAAGTGGTGCTTCAGGTTAAGAACAGTTTCAGGTTAAGTACGGACCTCCGGAACAAATTACTTAACCCGAGGTACCACTGTACTGAATAAGCCTCAGGCTCATCACCTACCCTTGCTCCTTCACTGATGCAAGGAGGCGGCTAGAAGACTTTGCTTCCGTTTTTAGTTAATCACAGTTTAGCATTATGTTTTAAATAAACGGCTGTGGATATTTACTACAGTTTACCAAAGCAAACAAACTTCATATTGTGGCTTTTAAAGTTTGTTTGCTTCAATAAACCATTGCTATTATTAACCACAGTTCAGGATTCAGACATCACACTAAACAATGGTTAATTGAAAAAGGATCCAAACTCCCCCTCATGGTAAAAGAGGAAGAAGGACCATTCAAGCTTTGCAACCAACTCTTTTTTCTGCTATACAGTGAAAACAGTGAGATTCCAAAGACAATTAATGTAAGTGTACATTATACATTCATTTTTTTACTTAGAGAAGAAATGAAATTACAAAGCAAATACCTAGCAGTACCTTAGAAACTTGTGCGCATCGACACAAGGTAATTACATCCAAGAAGGAAAATATTCTATAAGAAAGTAAAAAAGAAAGAAGTAAAACTGTTCTTCAACAATCCAGTCTAACATACTCCTGTAAACATATTAACTCAAGTTAAAAACATATAGATCAGTCAGATCAGAGTAGTATTTGAAAGCTGCCAACCAAAGATGTTTTAAAGGCAGTTATAAGAACTTTTCTCACATATAATTACACAGCTTGAAGAATGTTACAGCAAGGTGCAATACAGGGGTAGTCAACCTTTTTATACCTACCTCCCACTAATGCATCTTTCTTGATAGTAAAATTTCCTTACCGCCCACCAGTGCTAGATGGCTTGTGTCGCAGAACCCCCTACCGCCCACCTAGAATCCTGAAACACCCACTAGCGGGCGGTAGGGACCAGGATGACAACCCCTGGTATACCATATACCTCCAATATATATATTTATTCCATACAATTCTGGATAAGCTACTAGATTTTATTGTTTTATTGTTGTTAGCCGCCCTGAGCCCGGCTTCGGCTGGGGAGGGCGGGATATAAATAAAATTTTTTATTATTATTATTAGATAAACTCTCTTTGAGACCTTTCTGTTCCCATCAATCTAAGGGTAAGAAAACTATAATTAGGAAATAGCCTACTAGATATTGTCATGTAACTCAGGACCCTTCTGCCAAACTATGCTGTTCTGCGTGCTTAAGAAGAAAATCAAAGTCTCAGCTGCCACATTCAGTGCACAAAGTTAAGCCACACAGAAGAGTCTAGAAGTCCCACTTGATTGTATCAAGCAAAGGAGAGGAATAGAACTTTTTTTATTGTCACTGGTACCTGTAAATGCAAACCAAAAAACAATTTCGCTCAGCAGAGGTTTATGGTGGATAGTTGATTTTAACTTTGGAAAGAGTTATGAGAACATTATATCTGCAGCAGCTCATACACTCAATATGAAACTCATATTTCATGCCTATATTTTATCTGCTACAGGGGTAATAGCAGCTTGAGAACAATGGTGTATGGAGGATGAAAGAATCCCCTTCTTCCACTGCTCTGATCAAAATTGCAACTTTCCCCCCTCTCCACTGATGCTTTAAAATTTAAAAGGGCAAAGTATGGGGGAAGTGAGCCAAGAGATAATGGAAATCCAGCATCAACTCCAAGTGGACACGAGTAGTCGATTCTCTGTTAGTTCTTATGCAAATTCCCTCCCATTCCCATGCCATAATAAAAAAATATCCTGTATTTACCAACTTTTCTAAAGTTTGATTTTTTCACAGAAAATTCCAAATTGACAACAATGAAAAAGCTATTGTTTCCTAGCCGCATTGGTAACGCGCTTTTAAAAAGCTATCCTCAAACTACATACTGACACATTTTTGCAACAAATGAAGTTAAAACTAGGCATGTATAAGTTTTTATAAAACTTAGATTTGAAACGAATGAAATCCATTTTATAAGCAATAATCAGATTAAAACTATAAACTTCTAATGTAGAATTACCTTAAAAGGAGTTCTTTTGGTAACTTTCTGTTAATAAGAGCTTCATCATCATTTGAGAGTGCCTAAAAAGAAAGAGAGAGAAACCACAGTATTTTGGATGACTGTTCCTTTAGATCAGTGGTTTCCAACCTTTTTTGGGACATGCCCCACCTAAGCATCTCTAAAATCCTGATGTCCCTTCTGTGATATGTAATTCTTATTCAAAAAGTGAACTATTCACATGGAGGAAGCCTAAAAGGCCATTAAAAGGTAAAAGGAACCCTGACCATTAGGTCCAGTCGTGGCCGACTCTGGGGTTGCGGTGCTCATCTTGCTTTATTGGCCGAGGGAGCCGGCATACAGCTTCCGGGTCATGTGGCCAGCATGCATAAGCCGCTTCTGGTGAACCAGAGCAGCACACGGAAACGCCGTTTACCTTCTCACCGGAGCAGTACCTATTTATCTACTTGCACTTTGACGTGCTTTCGAACTGCTAGGTTGGCAGGAGCAGGGACCAAGCAATGGGACTGATCGGCAAGTCCTAGGCTCTGTGGTTTAACCCACAGCGCCACCCGTGTCCCTTAAAAGACCATTAACTTGGTCTAACTCATTCTTGCCCCCCCCAATCAAATCGCCCCCCTGTGGGGTGTGTGCCTCATGTTGGGAACTATGGCTTTAGATCATGATGCCCTACAGATTCAGTTGTACTCTAATTTTCATTAATCCAATGGCTGATTGTCAGAGATGACAGAAGCTGTATGCCAACAATATCTGAAAGGCATCACACTGGCTATTTCTGCTTTAGGTGAGCCATGTATTTTTTTTTTCTAATGGGAAATCAACAAGACCATTTCAAGCAGAGTTGAAATGAATAACTTTGAGATCAAGAAAAAAATAGATATAAATATGGAACAAACATATGTTAGTCAGTTCGTAAGTTTATTGTTTTAGCCAAAGGCTGTGACAAACTTGTAGAAATAATAATAAAATAATACAGAACACCCATAATATATAATCCAACATCTATGATATAAAAGAGAGAAGATACCAGAGACACCAACAAGTCTAAATCTAACTTAATTTCAGATTAAACCTCCGAGTCACCAAAACAATTTATAGTGATTTTATCTGACTCATTTTTCCTGATCTTTTTTGTATCCAGTGCATAAATGGCCGCTCTCTGTGTTACGAAGCTTTTATTGCCATTCAAAAGAATTGAAACATTTCTGCTGGGGAACACCTGCTTGCTTCTGAGAATGAAGGTTTCAAAAAAGGGTTTTCTTGGGTCTCTATATAAAGAATAGGCTAACAGATAATGAGTGATGTCTTCCACCTAAGGCTGACCACAAATACAAAGCCAATCTGCATATGGAACCTATGGTTGCCATCACTTGGAAACACAGCTCAATAAGGATATTTTAAAGGAAACTGGTGAGAGTTTGGTCAAATAACTAGCTCTAAAATGCTGTTCTCAGGTGTGGGGGGAAATTTGGTGTTCCTAATTAGTTGCAGGTCCCTTCTGGATTCTAACCAGAAGAGCCAATCCCTAAATTGACACTTATTCAATGTCAATGCAGAGCTCAGTTCTGGAAAATAGTAATAGTCTAAAACAAATTGACAAGCAGCTTTTTATATTTAATTGGGAAGCAGCTATCAGGTTCAGAAGGCCACCTCCATATTACCTCTGTTGCCACCACCAAAGTCCACATTGGGTTCCTTTGTAATCTTTGTGCTGATAAAAGAAAGTATCAACTTTTAAGTTTCATAACTAAATTTAAGTGTGTTCTCCCTTTTGCAGCAGTGGAAGCATGAACACTGCTATAAAACATAAATATCGTAGCACAAGCATTTGTGAAATTATGCTATTAGCCAATTCCACCCCCACCCCCTGGATACAATTCCCTATTATACACAATGCATTTAATCCTCTTAAAATAGTAACGTTTAGGGTCTGTTTCTTTTTAAAGGATTCCACATACTTATCCCCCCCGCCCGCCCCAATGGCAGTTTTTGAGAGGGTGCCAACTGGGAAAAGTCTAGAAATTCCCTAACTTTAAAATATTCATTTTAACAAACTAATGGAGGTCTTTATATGTGAAAGCTTGAAAATCACATCAATTGCAGTGATTGCTTTGATTCAAAATTGCTGAGTAATTCAACAGCTTCATTACTGTGAATAGGTTGGTTGTGCTACTCTACTATAGCAAACCAAGATTAACAAATGTATCGTGACAAACATTTCTGGGCTAGAGATAGTCAAAGTCATTTATGCCATGTCCCTGAAAGATTATGCTGCAACAAATTTGAATTTTTAGTGTATTATGGTTTCTGGTATTAGCACAATTTCCTCCAAAAATTACCCAAGCTACATAATTTATTTTAAAATTTAAGACAGGGTTAAATGGCACTGAAAAACGCTTCTTAAATTACTTATAATTACTTCAAGTTATGAAGACAGGAGTGTTCTATGATATGAATTCCCTGGCATTTTGAAGTCAATTTTTTAAAAGCTGAGGGCTACAGTACAAAACCTGGATCTGTGTCCGTTTCACAAGCAGAGAAAGAAAATTGACAAAACATCTGGAGCAAGGCTTCTCTTCCCTCCACTTTCCCAAGGGGGACTGGCTATAACACTGGCTTACAGGAGGATCACAGACTTGAGAGTGGTTGGAAAGCATTGCAGAATACTGCTTTACATATTGAACAGCTTACAGCTAGAATAAATAATAGAAAGAAAAGAGCAATTCTAACCAATGTTGCCTGGAAAACTGTTCAGAGGGTAACTATTAGAAGAAAACAAGCCTAGTTTCCCAAATGATTAACCTCAGCATAAACATGATCTAATCCCTGAAGTTTTTAAAGATAACCTGCTGTATAATAGAGAATTTTCTTCCAATTACACTATTCCTTTCTAGTTTTATATCATCAGTGATATTCATATGGAGAAGGGCAGATAATTTACACCAAAGGGGATGTACAAGTGAGGGGAGTGAAATCTCCTTCCCACTTTGCATCCCCATATGCCATTACTTCCTCTTCTCTTCTCCCCAGGCTCTCAATATTTTCAGCATAGCAGCACGACTGGAGTTAAAAATGCCCTAGTTCATAGACTATTCATTTTCCCCATTTAGCACTGAAGTGATCACACATGTCTGATTCATTTGTGTAAAAAGTGAGTAGCTATGGTTTAAATTTATCAAAACGGTTATGTGGTTAAGGCAAGCTGAAGCCCCAAATCCATTATCTCAGCAACTTTATAGAATGTCCTGTATATTATATTCCCAAAATAAAACCTTCCATATATTAACCATTAAGGACTATTTGGTCAGCTTTAAAGGAGCCAAGTAGGATTTTAACCTTTTTTTTTACTTTGACTGTTGACTGTTGGTCAGGGTCTATGATCTACTTCAGTCTATCGGGGCTGCGTGGAGTGGGGTGGGGGTAAAGTTAGTTCTGGTCAGGGAATGAACTAGACTAAGCACACCAAGACATCACTGTGGGTAAGGACTGCCCCAAATCATTCTCTCAAAGCTTACCAGCATGAGGGAAAGTGAAAAGAGTATTAACAGTCTTATTGCTCTCAAAGGCTTAGCACCTTAAATGCCACAATGCTCCAGGAGTCTCTTCAACATCCACAAAGGTGTTGGCAGACAAGATAATGGATCAGGTTGCTAGGAGCATTTGCTAGGAGCCATTGTGAGGACAAACAAGCAAAGATGCCAACAGGCAATACACTGGACTGTTCAGGGCTACATAGTTGTTGCAGGTATGCTAAAAAAAAATAGTCCCAGTTTCACTCCATATTTGCCTGTCTTCAGTCCAGTTTGGGGTTGGAGTCAAACAAGACTCCTACAAACAAACAAAAATACAGATCACTCCAAGCTGTTTTTTGCCCTCAGTTGAATATATGTACAGTGGTACCTCCGGTTGCGGACTGGGATCCATTCCAGAGGTCCAGCTGGATCCCAAGGTTTTCGCAACTGGAGACTGTTTCTGCGCACACGCACTCAGCGACAGAGCGCGTCTACGCATGTGTGCGTGGCAAAAACCCAGAAATATACTTCCGGGTTTACCGCTTACATATCCCAAAGTTTACATAACTGGAGGGATACGTAAGCGGAAGTACAACTGTGTACTTTACACAGGGTAAAATAGCAGCTTGCCAGTTGTGTGATGTAGACGGGAAAATGTGGGTGGAAAGAATCATATCTATCCCCTACAGCAGGGGTCTTCAAACTAAGGCCCGCAGGCCAGATCTGGCCCAATAGGGTCATGAATCTAGGCTGGCCGGCCAGGACAAAGCCTGCTCAGTCTCCTCCCCCATCTCAGCGAGAGGCTGGGTCTCCCTCGCTCCCTTCCCCACCTAGGGAAGCCACTCTCGACTCTCTAATGCGCAGGTGTGCCAGCAGAGCCCCTCCTGCCCACCAGAGGAGAGCGCTGCCTGAGACCAGAGGAGGCTGGAGGCCAGGGGCCGCCGCCTCAGCAGCCACCCATGGCTCCCACAGCAGTGGGGGACTGAGCATAGAGTGACGTGGGAGGGAGCAGCAAGGGGGTCGGCGGGGAGTTGTGGCCTCCTCCCTCTATTAAGCAGCAGACCGAACAGCTGCTGAGCTTCGCGCGACTAGGCTGCCAGCCCCCTGCCCGGCAGCCTCCCCTTTCCCCTGACAGCTCTGGGAAGGCCTTTGAGCTTCGCGCCGCACGCCGTTGCCTCACACTCCCAGGCTGCTCTCTGGGGATGGGGGAGCTGCGCAGCTCCGGGGATGTTGGTCGGAGGCTAGTGACAAGAATCCGCTGCCGAGAGAGAGGAGGGGGATCGAGAACTGGGGCATCGGGAGAGGACGAAGGTTGCCTCGAGTGGAGGGTCATGGCAGAGGGCAAAGGAGAGGCAGCAGCTTTTCTCTCTCTTCTCCCCGAGGTTTTGCCAAGAGCCTGCAGCCAGCAACTGGTGTCCTTGGACACCCCCGGGGCTTTACTCGCCTCCTTCTCCCCCCGGCAACCACGTCTCCTTCTCTCCCCCCCCCAAACTCGCATGTAAGCCTCCTAGAGCTCAGGAGGCACATGTATCCCCAAAGAATTGGGGAATGGGGATTTGTGTACAGGAGAAAGATTTGTCCCCTGTTCTCTCTCATGTTTTTGCTTGTGTAAGGCTGGGTGTGTGCAGCGGCTGCCATGTGGGGAGAGCTGGGGGGAAACTTTCTGTGAACAAATCGGCAAAAAGCTGTAGGCTTTTATTGCAAACACCCCCCCCACACACAATTACAATTTAATTGTTGATGATTTTCAGGGAATCTGGGTTCCTGAGTTTTCCAAACACAGAGAGTCCTGGAATGCAGACATCTCATTCTTTCTTTAAACAACTTCAGTTTTGGCGCAGTTGAAAAGTTTATGTTGATTAAAATCATTCTTCATTTTAAATATTGTATTGTTTTTCCTGTTTTTTGTGCACTACTAATAAAATATGTGCAGTGTGCATAGGACAGTGAATTGTCCCCCTGTTTAAAAAGTCTGAGGACCCCTGCCCTACAGGCTGCACAGAAAAAGCATTTTGGTTCCTGAAATTCATTCCTATTGTGCAGATGAATCATAATTAATATAATTCTACAAGTTGTAGTATTACTGTGAGAAAGCAGTCAAGATCCAATGATCCCCAGGCATGTACCTCCAGATGGTGATGTCAGGCAACACCCTGGCATCAAGTGGCTTGGTCTCAAGTGGCCAATAGTCAGGTCAGGTGCACACAACACTGCACTCAACATTAATTTAATCTGCTTATAGTAACTGACAGGTACTTCAGTCATACCAGAACCTGTTTTGATCAGTGAAGAAATTTGGTAGAATATTGTCAGCATTATCTTTTCTCTTCATACGCTAGACTTTAAAAAAAAAGAATGCTGAAATACTAGTAAGGAGCCTGGAATATCCTAGAGTTTATATCTACTCTCCTGTCCCCGCCTCCCACCTCAACAGCACAACTGCATCTTTTCAAGCATTTTATTGCTCTGGTTCAGTTAGCTTTCAGGGCTTAGGATGCATTCAAGATGCAACAAGGCAAGACAGCAGTTCCATATAAAACAAGAATAACAGTAACCCTCATGTGTTTCTCCACCTAAAATTGCTTTTTCAGATTTTTCTCCTCATGGGAGAAGTTTACTATGTTAAAATGACGTTTTAAAAAATGATTAAGGGTGAAGTGCAGAGGCATCTGCTCCTTTCTCCCACGCACTGCATTTAAAAACTTTGACAGTATGCGTGATTCTGCACAGGGATCTGTTGCTGACATGAGTTTGCTTAAATGTGGGTAATGCTTAATCAAAGATATGAATAAGCAACTATGCTAAAAAAGGAGCAACAGCTGATTCTAGCTTCCTAATGAGTGTGCCTGTATGAGGTTTTGTAAGTTTATATTCAATGTAAAAAAAAGAAACAGGTTGATTTAAAGATGACAAAAAACCAATAACAATAAACAACCAACCAAGAATGCCTGCACAAAAATAATTTTGGGGAGAAATAAATCTTGCCAGATAGCAAAAAAGACAAGAGTAAGTATCAAGTGAACCTCTTTGGGGAGAAGGTTCTAAAGGGGAGGGGGTCACATCCTAGAAGGTCACTGCCATCTGCCTCACTTTGGATGAAAGGCACCCAAAGAAAGACTTCCAAATATTTTCAGTGTACAGACAGGCTCCTGTTGCAGCAGGTGCTCCCTTAAGTTTCCAAATACCAAACCCTGTATCACTAGAAGCAAGCACCAGCATTTTGAATTGTACTCAGAAGGCTGCTAAAGAACTGGAAATATGTGTCCGCACTGACTGCTCCCAGCCTAGTAGCAAATACCCAACACCCATGCTATCCGTTAACCAGCCTTTTTATTGGCATCTCATAAAATGATTACTCAACAAACAGGTGACTTAAATAGGGAGGCTCTCTCTCTTTTACTAATCTCATTTATAAAGTCCACCA